GGCAGTCATATTGTCTACATGTTCCCAATCCGATGTGGACATTATTGCCGTCAATGATAAGTGTGATTTGTAGAGTGTCTTGTCTAACTGATCTAGTTCTGTGCGTATAAGTCTGATTTTTTCTGAGATAAGAGCTAAGATAGTTTTGAAAATAATTCGTTTCGCATTAGAAGAAGTTACAGTAGCAGAGGTGAGTGTAAATGCGATTGGTATTACCCCAGAGTCGCGGCATCTCTTCAGGAAGGTGAGAAACTCGATCAGCTGAGCTTTCTTATCCCGGAGTTTGTTGAAGGATCTTAAAGTTACGTGAAAACCCTCCCCGTAGAGGCGATTAAATTTTGATTTAAAGCTTTCGTGACTGCAGTAATTCATATTCTTAGTTTTTTCGGTAAAGTCACGTTGAAGAGAAACAACAAAATAACAAAATATATATAAAACAATAAAAAATTCTCACGACGTTTCGACCATAACTCAAACGGTCATCATCAGGTGTGTCGGTTTGCATAAATTTATTTTGAAAACGGCATATTTATTTATTTATATATATTAAAAAATCACGTTTGCGTCACGCGCAACGATTGGCAGTTTGCCCAGGACTAGTCCATCTATTTTTTGAAAAGAGGAGGGGGGAGACGAAATTTGTTTTTATGTATGCTGTCTGAAAGCCACTGTAAGCGTGAACAATCAATCAAGAACTGAAATGATTTATCAAATCTTTCCAATGATTGCTAAGATAGAATCCATCTTCTCGGTTGAAATTGTCTCTGTGCTTGTATATGTGGATAGCCTCATGAACGAATCTCTCATTGAAGCCAGATGGCTTACAAAGAACCTCCGTCTTGGAAAAGTCAATGGCATGTGAGCCTACTGAATTAGAACAATGATCTGCTACGGCCGAGGTGTTGGTCCTACCGTGTTTAAGGTCTGCTTTATGTTCACGAATGCGATCCGAGATATGGCGTTTGGTTTCTCCAATGTAACTACTACCACAGAGGCAACTTAGTTTGTAGACACCAGGGTATTGTATGTCCGGAATCACATCTTTTACAGACGGAACCAGATCACGGATTTTATGTAATGTGTTGAAACGGACCTGGATCTTGTGTTTATTCAAGATTTTGGAGATCTTTTTTGTGATCCCAGCAATGTAGGGTAAAGTGATGGTTTTGAAAGGCTCCTCAAGAGGGTTCTTCTTCATGGTTTGAGTGATAGCTTTGCGGATTGTATAGTCGGAGTAACCATTAGCCCTAAGAGCTTGGTGTACGTGCTTGAGTTCACTGCTTATGTGTTCCTGGTCGGATATGCATTGGGCTCTATGATACAGAGTCTTGATGAGAGAATTCTTCTGTGATGGATGGTGGTGGGAATCCGGTTTCAGATAAGCATCCGTATGGGTAGCTTTCCTGTAGACAGAGTGGCTCATTGAACCATCAGGTCTCTTTTTAATTAGGACATCCAAAAAAGGTATCTTGCCATCTATTTCGACTTCCATGGTAAATCTGATGGCTGGGTGTATGGAATTGATGTGGTCGAAGAATTGGTCTAGAGCAGGCCGGCCATGTGGCCAGATGACAAAAGTGTCATCCACGTACCTCTTCCATAAGGTTGGGCGCAGAGTGGCAGTCTGGATGGCGTCAGTCTCAAATTTCTCCATGAAAATGTTAGCTATAACTGGAGAAAGGGGGGAGCCCATTGGGGTGCCCTCAGTTTGTTTGTAGAAAGTTCCATTCCAAGTGAAGTATGTATTGGTTAAACAGTGTCTCACCAGGGGGGGGTACCTCAGTGTTTAGTCCTTGATGAACCAAGTCTTCAATGATTGCAATGGTGTCAGGTACAGGAACCTTGGTGAATAAGGAAACTACATCAAAACTGACAAGCAGGTCGTCTGGGGACAGGGAAATACCCTTGATTGTTGATACCAGGTGAGTAGAATTTTGTACCGCAGAGGTGGTCTTTCCAGTGAAAGGACGCAGGATTTCAGACAAAAAACGAGCTAGTTTGTAGGTGGGGGAGCTGATAGTAGAGACTATGGGACGAAGAGGTGTATCAACTTTATGTATTTTTGGTAAGCCGTATAATCTTGGTGGCCTGGCAGCAGAAGGTTTCAACGAAAACTGTTTAGATTGATCAATTAATGCGGTTGAATCAGAAATTATTTTGTTGGTTTGTGTGACGAGGCTGTTGGTGGGATCTCTTTTTATTTTTGTATAACTACCATCGTCGAGTAATTCTTTAATTTTGTTGTTGTATTCTATTTTATCCATGATGACAGTAGCATTGCCTTTGTCAGCTGAGAGAACTACAATATCATTCCTCTTTTTTTAATTTATATAATTCAAAACGCTCATCTTTGCTGAGGTTGCTAGCTGGCATCTTAGCGTTTTTGAGGGTTGCAGCGATTTCAGATCTTGCTACGTCTGCAGCGATGTGACTCAGGCCCCTGAGAGCAACGTCTACTTGGGCAATTATATCATTAACTGGTATGTGTTTAGGTGTGACTGCAAAGTTTAGACCTTTAGCTAAAACGGATTTCAGACCATCGGAAATAGAACTGTTACTGCGATTAATTACGACTTTATTAACGTCTAACTTTTTGGTGTGTGGGTCCGGTCTTTTGTTGAAGAGGAGGTTAAATTTGGAAATCAGGTTTTCCTTACATTTGGTCGACATAGTAGCAGCTGAAGAGGCAGTCATATTGTCTACATGTTCCCAATCCGATGTGGACATTATTGCCGTCAATGATAAGTGTGATTTGTAGAGTGTCTTGTCTAACTGATCTAGTTCTGTGCGTATAAGTCTGATTTTTTCTGAGATAAGAGCTAAGATAGTTTTGAAAATAATTCGTTTCGCATTAGAAGAAGTTACAGTAGCAGAGGTGAGTGTAAATGCGATTGGTATTACCCCAGAGTCGCGGCATCTCTTCAGGAAGGTGAGAAACTCGATCAGCTGAGCTTTCTTATCCCGGAGTTTGTTGAAGGATCTTAAAGTTACGTGAAAACCCTCCCCGTAGAGGCGATTAAATTTTGATTTAAAGCTTTCGTGACTGCAGTAATTCATATTCTTAGTTTTTTCGGTAAAGTCACGTTGAAGAGAAACAACAAAATAACAAAATATATATAAAACAATAAAAAATTCTCACGACGTTTCGACCATAACTCAAACGGTCATCATCAGGTGTGTCGGTTTGCATAAATTTATTTTGAAAACGGCATATTTATTTATTTATATATATTAAAAAATCACGTTTGCGTCACGCGCAACGATTGGCAGTTTGCCCAGGACTAGTCCATCTATTTTTTGAAAAGAGGAGGGGGGAGACGAAATTTGTTTTTATGTATGCTGTCTGAAAGCCACTGTAAGCGTGAACAATCAATCAAGAACTGAAATGATTTATCAAATCTTTCCAATGATTGCTAAGATAGAATCCATCTTCTCGGTTGAAATTGTCTCTGTGCTTGTATATGTGGATAGCCTCATGAACGAATCTCTCATTGAAGCCAGATGGCTTACAAAGAACCTCCGTCTTGGAAAAGTCAATGGCATGTGAGCCTACTGAATTAGAACAATGATCTGCTACGGCCGAGGTGTTGGTCCTACCGTGTTTAAGGTCTGCTTTATGTTCACGAATGCGATCCGAGATATGGCGTTTGGTTTCTCCAATGTAACTACTACCACAGAGGCAACTTAGTTTGTAGACACCAGGGTATTGTATGTCCGGAATCACATCTTTTACAGACGGAACCAGATCACGGATTTTATGTAATGTGTTGAAACGGACCTGGATCTTGTGTTTATTCAAGATTTTGGAGATCTTTTTTGTGATCCCAGCAATGTAGGGTAAAGTGATGGTTTTGAAAGGCTCCTCAAGAGGGTTCTTCTTCATGGTTTGAGTGATAGCTTTGCGGATTGTATAGTCGGAGTAACCATTAGCCCTAAGAGCTTGGTGTACGTGCTTGAGTTCACTGCTTATGTGTTCCTGGTCGGATATGCATTGGGCTCTATGATACAGAGTCTTGATGAGAGAATTCTTCTGTGATGGATGGTGGTGGGAATCCGGTTTCAGATAAGCATCCGTATGGGTAGCTTTCCTGTAGACAGAGTGGCTCATTGAACCATCAGGTCTCTTTTTAATTAGGACATCCAAAAAAGGTATCTTGCCATCTATTTCGACTTCCATGGTAAATCTGATGGCTGGGTGTATGGAATTGATGTGGTCGAAGAATTGGTCTAGAGCAGGCCGGCCATGTGGCCAGATGACAAAAGTGTCATCCACGTACCTCTTCCATAAGGTTGGGCGCAGAGTGGCAGTCTGGATGGCGTCAGTCTCAAATTTCTCCATGAAAATGTTAGCTATAACTGGAGAAAGGGGGGAGCCCATTGGGGTGCCCTCAGTTTGTTTGTAGAAAGTTCCATTCCAAGTGAAGTATGTATTGGTTAAACAGTGTCTCACCAGGGGGGGGTACCTCAGTGTTTAGTCCTTGATGAACCAAGTCTTCAATGATTGCAATGGTGTCAGGTACAGGAACCTTGGTGAATAAGGAAACTACATCAAAACTGACAAGCAGGTCGTCTGGGGACAGGGAAATACCCTTGATTGTTGATACCAGGTGAGTAGAATTTTGTACCGCAGAGGTGGTCTTTCCAGTGAAAGGACGCAGGATTTCAGACAAAAAACGAGCTAGTTTGTAGGTGGGGGAGCTGATAGTAGAGACTATGGGACGAAGAGGTGTATCAACTTTATGTATTTTTGGTAAGCCGTATAATCTTGGTGGCCTGGCAGCAGAAGGTTTCAACGAAAACTGTTTAGATTGATCAATTAATGCGGTTGAATCAGAAATTATTTTGTTGGTTTGTGTGACGAGGCTGTTGGTGGGATCTCTTTTTATTTTTGTATAACTACCATCGTCGAGTAATTCTTTAATTTTGTTGTTGTATTCTATTTTATCCATGATGACAGTAGCATTGCCTTTGTCAGCTGAGAGAACTACAATATCATTCCTCTTTTTTAATTTATATAATTCAAAACGCTCATCTTTGCTGAGGTTGCTAGCTGGCATCTTAGCGTTTTTTTATCCCCTCTATCTCTCTGGCCTCTCTGTGCTATCAAAAATATCTCTTCCCCAAAGCATTGGATTTTATACATGTTCTTTTAAATAGTGTTTTCGACAAATGTACGTTTTTATAGTATGTTTTCAGCAAAACCTACGTTATTTTCGAAAAGAGCGTGACATTTAATTACAAGTGGAGATGGTTATGTTAATGTAAGAAATTAACATGTTAATGTAAAATCTGGGAGTCAAGGGAAGGTTAGACATGAGTCCTGGAGGTCCCATCTTTAGTAAACTAAAACTAACATCGGAAGGTGACAAATTTGGAACATCACAGCCAATTACGACTTCACGGCACTTGTGCCCCACCCACTTCGTTCTGACACTTGGGCTACGCCCATTTTAAACCTTTAAAATAGCTTGCCTTGAGTAGCTTTCCCCCCTTTTGTCCTCCTCATGACAGTTGCTTGTGTTGCGATCGAAACGTCGAAGTTTTTTTCTTTTATTATTTTGACCATATGTACATGATTTTACCGAAAGACCCAAAGAATACCTATTATTGTGTTATTGTGTTTCAATTAACTCAATTCTGTCCAAGGAAATTACTGATTTTCATATAAGAGACAAAACAGTGACCCCGGCTCCCCTCACTCCTTCTTGTTCTTCTTTCCTGCCACTTTGGCCGCCCTCCTGTGGTGGCAGCACAGGCAGCAGAGGAGGACGGGCAGCGCGAGGGCAAACCCTGCAGCAGCACTCAGGAAGGCCACCACGTCCAGGCAGTGCAGCTGATACCAGGCGAGTTGATGCGCTGCTGTGTGCAGGTGGCGCGCGTGGCCATGACGCATCACGAACTCCAGCGCGTGCACCGCACGGTCTATCGGTCGTTCGGGCTGGTCGTGGTGGAGGCGCGAGAGGCGCTCCATGCTCTCTTGGTAGCTGTGGACATCACGGGTCAGAGGGCAGGGCCAACAGGCAGAAACGTTACGCAAAAGCACAGTTTTTTTTGTATTTAAAGATTCTTGTTACATATCTCCCTCCAAGCACGTGTTTTTTCAAGGGTTATTGCAAACCACGTTTGAAGTAAAACTAATTTAATTGTCACGATACGGCCATTCGCTACTCAGTGGTGGCGACGTCACCACGGCACTTCTTTCAGTATAGGTGGACTGAGGCCACGTGACGCATTGAAGGCTTGCTGCCCTGAGATCATGCGACAGACCAAGGTGCTATGGATTTACTCACTAAGATAGCTTACAGATGAACCATCTGTACTCCCTACTATGCAAACCTGCTGTGTTTTAGTCACGTGGAACTCACTCGTTTTGAGTTGTTGTTGCAGTGCAGCTGCATTCAGCTGCCCGGTAGCATCCTTCAGAGCCTCCTTTATAGAGGGCAATCTTGACAGAGCTAATACCCCATACAGGCCACATGATTGAGCCAATGCAGCCTCACCTGCCAGAGAGGCTCACTGATGGGACTGTGCCAAGATATTTTAAAGATCTTTGAGCTCACACAATCCAGTCTGATTAAACCCAGGGTGAATCGAAGAAAGGCCAGCCTGAATGTTTCAAACCGGCGCAGATGTTTTGCAAAAAAAAATACTAAATACAGTCCGTTCTCCTATGTGTAGTTTTTATAGCGTGAATTGTATGAAACGCGATTCATGTATTAGGGAACACATTTTTTATAACGCGGATGCAAATCGGAGATTGAGTGAACAGAACTACGTCACGCGAGTATGAATAAGCGGACGTAATGCTGCCTTGGCATAGCATCACACAATGTGGGATGCTGTTGGATGCTTTTAGATGCTACCCACGAACCTCAGTCTTTGTTCAGCCTGCGTACGCATCTCACATTTTATCGCGGACTTTGCTGTACCCAAAATAATATATCATTAATTTATTATAATGCGAATATTCCATAATACGGTGTTCTTGAGGAATGCAGCTACCGCCACATTATAGGAGAAAATATTATATGTGCGCGTGCCCAGTGAGTGAGTAGATTTGAATAGGGTAGCCATGTCTGACCTAGACGTGGCGGGCATAGGCACCACGTCGGTTTAGTTATTTCTAGCAGAAACTGGCCAGCACAGCCTAGCGGAGGCTCCATAACTTGAATATTGCAAACCCACATAATGGGTCGCATGGTACTCAGGAAACAGGAGGTAGGAGCGTCTATTCGGAGTAAAACAAAAACTATCTTAGACACTTGGTCGGGACAGTGTGTGGAGCCTTTGAATCGCATTGATATAACATAATTTGCTACGAATTTTTTTGGGGACATTTCTGGGGAATAAAGGCATCGTGGGAATAATTTATTATATGGTGCATCGCGTTGGTGGGACGCAAGAGTTTCTTAATCTTTCCTATGCGTTAAGTGATAATGTTGCAGGCGCCACCATCTGCCACTCTTAAACTCGTGGTCAGGGTGATCTGTGGTTTGTCTAAGCTGTATCAGTGTCGAAATACGCGATGAAGGCTCTTGGATAATACCTGGGGAGGATGAGCCTCGTGAGGGAGCACTGACGGGAGAGGGCATGGTGCGGGCATTGAATCACGGGAAAGGGTGCGGTGCATTGTGGGTAGATACGTTGTTCTCTGTGGGTAAATTGCAGTGCATTATTGGCCAAAGCCTTAGTTATGGTTGCTGGGTAAAGTGTGGTATATTTTTCAGATGCAGAGGACCAATGCCCCAATGCCAACAGCAGGTTAGACCAGTGATTCTCAACTGGGGGTACATGGACCACTGGGAGTATGTGGCAATGTTCCAGGGTGTACGTGAGGTCCTTTATAAATGTGTGAAATATCATACATGGGGACCATTGGTGAATAATAATATAGGAATTTCCCAATATAAAATAACTACAATAAAATGTAAATCCACATGGTAACCTATAACGATATAAAGATCCTTTCGAAACTCATTGATTGTAAACAATGTGGTTTCCAAGAGTAACCAGCGAGCGAGCGTGAATAAATTTTGTCACGCATGGTGAGCGTCCGTTTATTTTTTTGTTATTTGCTTGCAGTTACTAACTAGTTAGGATGCCTCACAAAATGTGCAATTGGTTATTAATACATTTATTTCTCAGAACCATGTTGGGTCAAGCAAGGGGGTACTTGGTTGAAGCGAAATTCAATAATGGGTACAGGTGCAAAAAAAAAGTTTGAGAATCACTGGGCTAGACCATTCATGCCCCTTGACACTGATGTCTTAAGCTAATATAACTGCTGATACTTTAACATTCGTTCACCATTGCGCAGAGCTGGTAGAACTAGAGTTTGCAGACCCCCAGAGCAACACTCACATCAACCCCAAGCAATGTGAGAATCATCTCTTTACATTCGTGTTGCCGTATTTAATGTAGGTTAATCGATATAGGATTGACGTTATATAATCCCACATGTCAACTCCTTTGTGTTAATTAATTGTTGCTGTCTATAATGAACTCGCAAGGATGGTACACGTACAAGTAATGTCGTTGCTGTGCACGCACCTGCTGTTGTTGATGAGCAAGCCGATTGCATCTCGGATCTCCTGGGCAGTGACGGTGTTGATGTCCAGCACGATAGCAACCCCACGCATCTGCACTCTTAGGAGGTTGTCCTTCTGGTCGCCAACAAGCGGGAAGCCGAGCATGGGGACAGCATGGTAGATTGCCTCGTAGACCCCGTTAGTCCCGCCGTGCGTGATGAAGGCGCAGGTCTTCGGGTGGCCTTTAAAAGCAAAAAAAACCCTCATTGTTAGAGTCAATACCAGTCGCGGTAATTGATTGGTTTGCCGATTTAGCTTTATCCAGCTTGTGCCACCACAATCATTATACAATATGATACAATTTTATATGTTTCCCTTGGAATATATATATTGCCTGCCTCTGGGGAAGTATATTATCTTATATTCAAACTTGATTTGAAGCTTCCGTGACTGCAGGAATCCATACTCTTTGTTTTTTCGGTAGTCACGTAGGTCGAAAAAAATAATAGATCACGCCGTTTCGATCGCCACACAAGCAATCGTCTTCAGGTGGGAAAGAGCCGAGAGGGGGGGAGAGGGGGGTTGCCGCATCGGGCAAGAGGGTGGGGGCTAGAGATTGTGCCTAAGCGAGTGGGAAATCCAAAGATGGGAACTGAGATGGGGGGGGGGGTGATGCGAGAGCTGCGAGAGCTGAGGAGGTGACCATTGTATTGTGAAAGATTAGCATGTCAATGTAAACGAACCAACGGCAACGGTGGCTGTGCTAGTGAGACATCTAGATCGTTGGACAAACAAACGACACCACATCGAGGGAGGAGAGAGAGACACACACACTGAGAGGCACACCCACGCAGAGAGAGACACACACAGAGAAACACTAATAAAACCACTTCAAATGCACTACATTTCGTAAGATTCTGGATGCTAAACATAAGTGTCCAAATACGAATGTGTTACGTGTGGGCAGGCACAACTTAAAATATCTAAATTTCAAATTATGTTTACAGCATCAGAAAATAAAAATATGGCTAAATGCTTTCAAGCTATCAATTCCAGTTCAGTGATTATGCTCTATTACTATAGTACTATACTGCCTTCAACTTTTATGAATGACTGGGTGTGTAAATTTAGCGGTTTGTCATATTGTCTGGCTGTACAGCAAATTAAAAAAATACAATAACTTTACTATGCAAGTAAAAAATTGTTTTAATATTTACGTTTTTTTCTTATCTTTATAATATATACTACAGGCCCCGCACTAGCTTAATCCGGCACTGGTTGCAGTGTCGCAGTGATTGGGTGGGAGAGAGATTTGTGACAGCATGGGTAGCCAGGGTGTTGGGGTCAATTTGAAGGTTCCAGTAATACACCACATTGCAGTCTTCACTTGGACATCAACAAGTCGAGTGTGACTACTTCTGGTCAATACTGGTGCAGAGTACATGGCTACAGAGTACACAAGGGCCATCATTGATGTCCGTAGCACTGGGTTCTGTTGCTCCCCAGCTTGTGCTTGCCAGTTTCTGGACAAGGTTAACCTTTGTTTTGGACTTGGCGGTTACATTTTTCAAGTGGTCATGGCAGGTCCAGATTCACTCCGAGAGAGGTTGGAGTGGTGTCATGTTGCACAGAGTTTCTGAAGAAGGTCACTTTCAGAGGGTGTGCTTGACGCTCCTATTGTCAAGATGAAATGCAGTGACTGTTGTTGTGTGGGGATTTTGCTTGAGCCTCCATTTCTAGAAATATTCCCCCATGGCAGTGTTCTTCACTGATTTTCAGAGGGGGGCCGCTTTCGCTGATAAGACATCATCAGTCTGAGGGCCGCCACACATGTGAAACCTTTGGGGTGTGACAGTAGCACGATAATGATGGGGGTTGTTTTCACATTTGTGTATTGTCGAGGAATCCCACATCAGGGGCCACACTAAAGGACACCAGGGGCCGCCAGTGACCCGCCGGCTTTGCAATGAATAACCCTGCCCTATAGTGTGTAGGTCTCGTTTCAGAGAGGATTTTATGTCGTTGACAGTGGCTGCTTGGATTGCCAGGGCAAGGTTATATACCAAATGTAGGTTGTACTCTTTGGGTATTTCGGTAAAGTCACGTAGATAGAAAAAATAAAAAAAATCACGACGTTTCGATCGCAACACAAGCAATTGTATTCAGGTGAAAATACAACAGGCGAACTGCTGAGGCAGGAGAAACATAGCAAGACAACTTCTGCAGCAAGAGGTTATATACGTAGGTTTTAGATGGGTACAACTCAAGGGTAAGTGGGCGGGGCTAGAGATGGAATTTACAAGTAATATAACTCGCAATTATATTTCTGGAGATTAGCATGTCAATATGTTAATGTAACCCCACGACTATGGTGCTGAAGAAGCCATGGGATTGCTAGAGATTAGAGATTAGCATGTCAATGTGAGATGGCTCCCGCAGCAGCGACTGTGTTAATGAGACACATTCAGCCTATTAAACAAGGAGAGCCACCGCCACATCGAGGAAAAGGGAAGCAGTGGCTATGTTAGTGAGACATTTTGCCTGTTAATGTAAAGACATTTAACAAGGTAATGTAACTCAAAGAATCGGAAATAAATGTTAACATCGGCAGGCTTTATGGAATGCATCACAGCAAGTTATGACATTACCTGGTTAATAACATCCTTCTAATGATTACTCCGTTTGTACCCATCTTCTCGGTTGAAATTGTGTCAGTGTTTATATATCTGGATGGCTTCATGAACAAATCTTTGTTGATAGCCAGTGGGTTTGCATAGAACCTTCATCTTGGATAAATCAATATCATATGTGCCCACAGCATTAAAATAATGATCAGCCACGGCAGAGGTATTAGTCCTACTGTGTTTCAGATCTGCTTTGTATTCACGAACACGGTCTGAGACATGTCGCTTGGTTTCTCCAATGTAACTACTGCCGAAGACACAACTTAGTTTGTAGACACTGGGGTATTGCATATCAGGGATCACATACTTCAGAGATGGGATCAGATCACGAATTTTATGTACTGTGTTGAATCGAACCTGGATATTGGGTTTGCTTATGATTTTGGCAATATTTTTGGTGACCCCTGCTATGTATGGCAAGGTTATGGTTTTGATTGGGTCCTCAGGTGGTTCTCTCCCAACGGTTGGGGTGACAGCTTTACGGATTGTGCAATCCGAATATCCATTCATCTTGAGGGCTTGATGTTCGTGCTCCAGTTCACTGGCTAGGTGGTGATGGTTGGAAATACAACGAGCCCTGTGGTGTAGAGTTCTGGGCTGGATGGTGGTGGGAGTCAGGTTTTAGACAGGCATCCGTGTTGGTGGCTTTCCTCTAGACAGAGTGTCCCAATGAGCCATCTGGTCTCTTTTCGATTAAAACATCCAAGAATGGTAACTTGCCATCCTTTTCCACCTTCATGGTGAATTTGATGGCTGGGTGTATGGAATTGATGTGGTTGAAGAATTGGATCAGAGCTGGCAGGCCATGTGGCCAGATGACAAACGTGTCATCTACGTATCTCTTCCACAAGGAAGGACGTAGGATGGATGCCTGGATGGCATATGTCTAAAAAGTTTCCACTAAAACATTGGCGACCACTGGAGATAAGGGATAACCCATTGGGGTACCTTCAACTTGTTTGTAGAATGTACCATTCCAGGTGAAGTAAGTGTTGGTGAGGTAGTGTCTCACCAGGGCCGGTACATCAGCAGTCAGTCCTTGTTGGACCAAATATTCAATGATTGCAATCGTGTCAGGCACAGGAACTTTGGTAAACAAAGAAACGACATGGAAGCTGACAAGCAAATCGCCTGGAGATAGTGAGATATCTTTAATTAGAGATACCAAGTGAGCTAAATTAAGTACAGCTGAGGTGGTCTTGCCAGGTCTCAGATAGAAATCAGGCCAGTTTGTAGGTGGGTGAGTCAATGGTGGAGACGATAGGACGGAGTGGTGTACCTTCTTTATATATTTTTTGGTAGGCCATAAAATCTGGGTGGTCTAGCAGCAGAGGGTTTTAGGGAGAGCCGCTTGGTTGGTTCGATTAAAGATGTCGAATCAGTGATGATATTGTTGGTTGTCATAACCAGGCGGTTGGTAGGATCTCTATTGATTTTGGTATAGCTGCCATAATTAAGTAGGTCCTGAATTTTATTACTGTATGTGGTTTTGTCCATGATGACAGTGTCATTGCCCTTGTCGAGGATGGCTATGTCATCTCTCTTTTTCAGTTGAGCAAGTTTAAAGCGTTCATCCTTGCTGATGTTGCTAATGGATTTCTTAGCGTTTTTTGAAAGATTGCAGTGATTTCCGACCTCGCCACGTCTGCAGGAATGTTTCCCAAACCTTTAAGGGCTACGTCGACCTAGGCAATGATATCATAAACTGGGATGTGTTTAGGGGTGACTACGAAATTCAACCCTTTAGCTAGTACCGATTTTAGGCTGTCGGAAATTGGGCTGTTACTCTGATTGATAACAATCTTATCAAAGTCTAACTTTTTAATGTGTGGCTCTGGCTTATTCTTAGACAGGAGGTTGAATTTGTAAATCAGGTTCTCTTTGCATTGAGCTGACATCGAGGTGCATAAATAATTCGTGCATTTGGGATAGCTGCTATGGAGCATCCATTATTAATTTTACAAACATTTTCATTTGTGATTACCAAAAATAGCATCATAAACTTCAATGCTTCTAAACAAGTTTTGACTTTGATGACATTCTCAGGTATTGATCCAATTTGAAAGTTATCTATTACCAGAATCCCCTAATTACAGGGCATAAATGGAATTACAGCGCCACCTGGCCAGTTCTGATGAAAGTGTAGGACAAATATATTCGGTCTTTAGATGCTGTCATTTCATATAATTTGAGCAGTGGTATGCGGATCCCTGGGGGTACGTGGCAATGTCCCAAGGGGTACGTGAGCTGATGTATAAATATCATACATGAGTCATTCGGGAATAATCATGCATGAATCTGCCAATCGAAAATAATTGACCGTAAAAAAAGCGGGTATCGAAGAGTAACCTGCGAGCGCGAACAATTTACGCCACACATGCAGAGCGTCCAGTGATTTGTTTTGTTCGCTTGCAGTTACTCGCTAGTTATGATACCTCACAAAATGAACAATTGGTTAACATCATTCATACATTTATTTATCAGAATCATGAGCGGTCAGGCAAGGGGGTGCTTGGTTGAAACTAAATTCAACAAAAGGGGGGGTACAGTAGTAGCCAAACAAGGTTGACAACCACTGCATGGAAGTGCTGCGTACCCAGCAAGTCGTTCTGTGGCAGCCAGGGCACCAGCATAGTGTTGGAGCCCAGGGAAGATGGCTTCTCCCCCTCGTATCTCCACACCACCTACCAGGTCACGCGGCGTCGCGTCACACACTCCGGTTGAAGGGAAGAGGCAACCAGCACTCTTACACAGCTCTTACGTTGTAGACACGTTCCCAGACTGGTTGTCTTGAGCTGACAAAAGCCTGATCCTGACTTTAATGAAGATTAAATTGACTTAAAGGTTACGAACAATCTGCCATCATAGCACAACGGTGACATTGTGGTGACGTTGATAAAACAATGTTTAACAAGTGGATGGTGGTATATTAGTATTTTGGCATTGGTAGAGCATTTCCTCCAGGTAAACTTCATCCAGCTATGTATGTTGAACTTATTTTGCCGGGTACGTAGCCAACCATGCTCGTCAGAGCATGCAGGGGAAAGACAACAAACTAAATACTTAAAGCAGTTCTAAGCAGCGAGACAATCCCCCTTTTTTCCCACTGCTGTAGACGTAGATTTGTTTTTGTATTACCTTCTGTGGGAGCTGAGCCAGTGCAGAGGCGATTACTTCAGCCCTCTCCAAAGGCATGTATTTGATCATGGACCCCAGCGAGAACACAATGAGGCCGTGCTCACCTGAGCTCTGCGCAAACTCTTCAAAGTCCTGAAATTAACAAAAATAAAGCAAACACGTGTACGGTTACATTTATCTGACAGGGTATGTGACGCTGTTGTCCTTTCACTGCACCTCCGATAAGCGCGGTTGGCTACATACGGTGCGAAAGAGGTTCAACGTACATACTTTTATCTGGAGTGCTCAAAGTGACACAGCCACACACAGATGGGATGAGGCAGATGCATGATAATGATACTAATAATGCAATTCTGTAATGCACACGGTGTATTATGAACATGAAAGACGAAAAACCTTAAAGCCAGGCGAAAGAGCCGGGCAAATGTGCAGAGGGTTGGGATTTCAGATTTGGGGCTGCCAGGGAGAAATGTCGCCGGGCAGTAACGATCCTGGTTCTTGGTGTAGAGAGGAAGTTGTACGTTGTGCTGTGGAGAGTTACACATTGTATGTGCTCGTATTCATGTGGAACTTCTTTTGCACCGTATGTAGCCAACCGTGCTAATCGGAGGTGAGCTGTTTTGAAGGATAATGTGGAATCGATATTGATGCTGACGGCTCTGACAATTGAATACTTGAGCCAGCGATGAATATGCTAGAAAGGAGCGTGGAGGTGATGATTGGCTGTCTGAGCAGAGTCGCTTTAAATCTGGACGTGATTCAAGAAGAGACCATGGGCCCAGAATCGCTGGTGCAAGGTAGCGGGCACATTCTGATAGCCTTTTGTATCCAGCGACATCTTTGGAATCATTGTAGGTGCTGAGTAGGCTGTCACCTATGTGGAAATAGACTTTGACAAAATAAGTTATTAATGAGGTGGACCAATAGGAGCAGCAGGGGACCGAGGAAGAGAACCCAGAGGGACTCACTGTGGGTAAAGTTGTTTGCATCGAATCAAGTGTAACACTACAGGTGTTCTTTGTGTTCATTTATATTTCAGTTTTGGATTTTGGAATTAGTGCTTTTCTTTTGAGTCAAATATGCATATGTGTAGTTGTTTAAATTATAATAAAATATCTGATTTTTCAAAAATTATATGGTATGTTTAAAATATTGTCAATGAACTAATATAATAATACAAAAATATATCTGCATAATATTTATATCGTTAAACTAATCATTGATCAAATATCATGCATATAAAATAATTATGCAGTTGTTGTTTTGCCCAATAAATAGTACTTAATGTTTGTGAAAAAAAAGACTGTCATTTTTTTATTATGGGATCATTAATGACCCCAATTGGGAACTGTTATATGTGAAATATGTCGATCACTGTAAATAAATAAAATAAACTTATGTTATGGAAAAGTATTTCACTATGTCAAAGTGTCGAATCTATATAAATGATTTAGAGGCGTTCTTGGCGTGTTCCCTGTTGTATGTCCGATGTGAGCATCATAGTGCACGTTAATATTTGGTAAGAACAGTGATATATTTGATGCTATTGATGTTTTATATTTGATGTTGCTCTCTGATCGGTCATGTCATCAGTGTCATTGATGCTGGTGCTGAGTGCAGTAAACCCTCGCTATGCGCGAGTTCTCAATTCGCGAGTTTTGCATATTCGGGAGGCACTAAATGTACACTAATTCCCTTTTCGTGACCCAGCCGGACTTCAGTATTCGCGAGTCTACGTAGTGCTTATGGACCACTGACGCCGTGGAGGTGTGCGTAGACGTTACTACATTTAAAACTGTGAAGATTATGCACGCCACTTCGGCTGCCCGTTCAGTCCTCAGTCTTGCAGTCATCCCGCTCTGAACTCGCTATTGTGCATGTTTTACTTTATGCAGTACACACTTGCTAGTTAACTGCCCTTAATCATGGTTCTCAGGCGTCAAATGAGAGAAGAAAGTGCGTCTACTGAAAAAAGGGCGGAAAAAAAGTGATGAGGTTTAGTGAAAAGTGGTAGGCCGACATTTTGGTATAAACGAGTCAACTGTGAGGTCCATTAAAAATAACGCGAATGAAATCAGAGAGTGTGTTGCGGTTAGCACTCCCCTTCAGTAAGAATGACTCCGGAGGAGTCATGCTGCTGAATTGCTCGCCTCCATCGTCGTCAAATCATGATCATCAAAGGTAATACCAAAAAGAAACACATTGTTTTGATTTAAAGCTTTCGTGACTGCAGTAATTCATTTTCTTAGTTTTTTCGGTAAAGTCACGTTGAAGGGAAACAACAATATATGAAATATATATTTTATTAGTTTGTTGTTTCCCTTCAACGTGACTTTACCGAAAAAACTAAGAATATGAAACACATTGTTCTTTATAATTTACTAGCCGTCTTCGCCCGGGACTTGGATTTACCACGCCCAGCCGCCTTTGTCTCTCCCCGCGCACACACGCGCGCGCGTCCATAGGTACACATACACGCGCTTGCTGCAGACACACAACTTTCAGGGTGCGTACGGGAGTAAACGACTGAAATAATAAAGCAATGCTGCGCGAAGAACGCCTTAGACCTGCAACACATTTGTATGGCACTTTACTCGCGGAGGGTTGGGGGGGTGGGATGCGTGACGCTTCCGCATGCGCGGGAGACATGACAGATGTGACGTCACAGCTCACTTATCGTGCAAAATATATGCATTAATGCGCCCCCCCCCCAAAAAAAATACAAAAGTCTATTTTTATTATTTTTGCATGGTGTACAGTCTGGAAGCTACCCACATGCCAAATTTCAAGTTTGTTCCATGTTGGGAAGTATGCTTAACATTTCGAACAGGCACACATATTCACAACTTTCCCTTTTATATATATTATGCATTGTAGTAATTGTTATGAATAATTTTCCATTTCCCTCCTGTATTCACTAGGTTTCTGCATTCGCAATGGTTTCAAAGAATGTAACCCTCGCGGATTGAGAGGGTTTAACGTACATGTCATTTATGATGACCATATTAGTATTACCGTTGATGATAATGTTGTGGATTAAGCTATCGCATTGCTTAACTTGCCTTGGGTAAGGGCTTTGCGGGCTTGCAGTGGAGCCCTCCGACGAAAACGAAGTTCGGGGGGAACGGGCGTGGGAAGTCGAGGTCCCAGTTGTTCCGGATGAGCCAGAACTCGGCGCCGCTCATCACCTGGCAGATTGTCGTTTCTTCTCCTGCGAGGTCAGAGATGGCAGTGCAAGCAGGATGTATTTTGTATATAGCGTACAATTTCAATATGTGAGAGAATCACTATAGAGCTCTTTCACATGCAATCACACAGATATCTAATATTTGTAAAAAAGAAAAAAACAAGACATTTAGACATATTGGTGGTACACCGGTGCAGCATAACAACACAGCAGTCCCAATAAAAGTCTGACAATGTCACTATTGACCCTTGAATGGGCTGCAGACTCCATCAAAATGTGCACTTAGATTCAGCAGCTGCTTTCCCAATTCGAACGTGCGGTGAAACCATGAGTCATAGTTATCTTTTGATGCCACCGTCCGCTCAGAAATGATTCTGTAAATATATCGAGGAACCGTCCGATCAAGTCATGGGGCAGGAGTCAAATATTGCCTTTGGAACACTGAGCCAGCCAAACGTCACCATGCTGGGTGCTGCTATACGGCAACAGAATGTGATGCTTCGTGTTCAGCTGCTCATAAACATTCGCCTTCCGAATGCTTCGAGATCACGAGAACTCATTTTGGATGTACCACCCTGCAAGATTTTCTGCCCCGGCTTGCGAATCGCAGGAAAATAAATAATTATTGTGACAATTTAGCTTTTTTTACTGCACACCGCCAGTGCACCGCCAATACGTCATGTATCCACCACACCTTTCTGTAATACAATAGATTAAACTCTTTCGCTCTGAAATTGTTTGCTTAAGTTTACCTTTTTACACAAAGTTTAAACGCTTGACACACATGCACTTACCTAGCACTTCACTGTAAGCTCTGTTCAACTCTCTGGCCATGAGGAAAGTCAGTACGTCGGTAAATGCGTACATCGCTGTATTTCGCACTCGTTGCCAGAAGTGCATCTGGTCCGTGAGATCAGACAGGGGCACGGGCACGTAGGATGGAGGCGCGGGCATCGCCCCACAGTAGCGCTCAGCCACATAGCCCAGTGAAAAGCGCAGTGAGTAGACGTAGGGGATGCCCAGTGTTAGAGCCAGCGCATCACCACACACTGCGACTGGGTCGGCTAGGAGCACGTGGAAGTGGCTATCCCGCAGACGAGAGATCAGGTCCTTGTCGCGTGTCAACGCCATGCACATTTCCTTGGCGACTGCGTGGATGTGCGTGTGCAGATATGCATGCATGGGTTACACACAAAAAACGATGAGCAAATAAACATGCAAATGTGATTTACAAGTGGGGAAAATATAACGGACTGGTAACATGGCTCAGCGGTCGCATGTTCGATGCATGGTTAAGAGGTTCTTGGTTCAAATTTGTCCAGGCCACCACGGGTGATACGCAAGTTGTATTAACGGTAAATGTAAATGCCGTATCCTCTTTTCGAATCACACCGTTTCCTTGCGGGTTTACTTTAAAAGTGGAGGCTGCCGTGTGCCATGTGTCATGGTCCAAATTTTCGAAAGAATCAACACAAGCAGGCGCAGAGAGCAGACACATCATTTACCATACTCTTTCACCCATGACACGCGACCTAAGAATCCAGCCAATTGAGTTTGAGCCCAATTAGTACATCAGTGCTCTAAGGTCCCTCAATTTCACACGGCTGCATACACCAGTGTGGTAAAATATGATCAAATAATATCAATGAGAAGGTATTGTATCCAGTCTTCAAGTAATTATCTACTTAAGGAGTACTGTCTGGTATTCAAGAGGTCAGGGGTTTGTTTATGATCCTGAGGCATGTATATTTGGAGTCTGCATGTCTCTCTCTCCATGGTCGCATGGATATTTTTTTTCTCTGGGTCCTCCTATTTTCGCTCCACAGTTAGAATCAACATGCGTTTAGATTATTTAGATTATTTGACGGCTATAAATTTTCAAGTGATAAGCCACTTCACTGAACTATAATTTGTGGCCAGGTCGCTTACGAAATAATTCAGTGGGCTTTACCTGCTACCATATATACTGTACATACGTTTTTGTGTGATTTGCTTTGATTTCATATACTTTGCACTCCTATTGTGTTTTTGAATAGTTTGTTGCTGTCACGTTCTGGCCCCGTGCATCTATAAATACGAGCTTGATGGTTAATCGGATTCCTCCTATATATAAAATATCCTGATTCTGTAAATGATTAGACATCATTGGCAAGAGACATCTCATAGTCCCATCTCGTTGGCAGTATAGAAATCTACCCCTTCAACATCCCCTTTTACATGGCATAATTAGCTTATGCCATCCACCACCCATATGACATTCACCATAGGCTATAGAATTATCATTTTTTTATTTAGTTTGTTGTCCTTCCCTCGCATATCTGATTTTAATGGTTGACTACGTACGGTGCGAAAGGAGTTCAGAAAAGTATAATGGGCTCATCCCTATCCCTCTCTTCCCATTATCTAAACGAGGGGACAGGCCAGTTAATAAAGACAACAATATAATAGGAGTTCAGAGGCTATGAGTGGATACTCTGCGTTGTTTTCTTCCCTCCTCTTGAGAATCGAGTGACTCCACCACCGAGGGACATAAGAGGGTTGTGGAATGGCAACTCTTCATTTCAAAGTGTTCTGAGGAGCATTCGTCCCTTTGTAACTATGACCAGATGAACACCAATCGACCCCACGTTGCACAACACCTCAATGCTAAATCCCTGTACAGCGTACATCTGAATGTGAATAGGTGCCCTGTACCCTGAATTGATTACTCCACTGGTGGGCGTGGGCTACTGTGCAGTCACACAAATAAGATAGTCACGTGAGTCTTTGGGTCCAATACATGGTCATCATTAACTGCATTGAAAACAATGGTCTACAATTTTTTGGACGGTCTGCTTCAGAGATGAAATGTGCTGTTTATTATGGATTTTGATGTGCTGAATTCAAATATCACAATTAAAACAAATGATTGGCTACTATTCCCAAGATATTACAGTTTTTACATTTTATATCTATGAACATTGGGTAGATAGTAGTGTTTTGCTCATTAATTGTAAACCTAGGTCTTTTGATGTGTTTATGGTTGCTTTACATGATAACATGTCACCTGTCCTGTTCATATCATAAGTTTTTCCACTTTTTCTGGCAACAGTCTGACCACAAGCATTGAGGTTAATGCAGACATGATTCCTTGTCATAGGTTTCAGTTTGGTGTTTTAACATCTTAACACCTATTTTGTTGCCAGAAAAAAAAGGGGAAAACCCTATTATATTTTGGTACTGGCAAAGGAGGTCCCATGATGTAGATGCTCGGCCCCGAGCTCTCATTACTCTTGATAGTGCATTGTCTTTGGGCTGTACGCCTTTTGGCGTCCTGTGGTCTCACACCGTTTGAGACGAGGTTCAAAAGAAAACTGTCTCTGGTGTTGACCAGTTTCAAGGACAATGCATATATCATCAGTGTGTTTTTTGTGTGCATTCTGACCACAAGCATTGTGGTTAATGCAGACATGATTCCCTGTAAAAGGTTTCAGTTTGTTTTTTTAACATCTTAACACCCGTTTTGTTGCCAGAAAAAAGGGAAAACCCCGATTATCATATTTTAGTACTGGCAAAGGAGTTCCCCTAAAGTGGTGGATGTTGAATACTTTTCCTCCCAGGCACCAATGACTGTCGGAGTGGCCAATCTATATTGATGTAGTGGGAATCTCTCACGTGACTATCCCATTCACAGAGAAAACAGCAGAACTTTGTGTATCCAGTCTGCAGACCGAGCAAGAGAACAACAACCTTCAAATCCACACAAAGCTGCCACTGATGTTGGTCATAGTTATGCACCTCAAAAGTTGTTTCATGTTGTCATAGGTTTCCTGCATATGGACTGCATAACCAACTGTATTTGATGGCAAAACATTGCCATTATACAGCAAAACAGCTTTAAGACTCATCTTCGATTAATCGATTAACAGTATCCACTCATCTGGATCATGAACAATGTTGAGGGCTGCCATCACACCATCGATGTTGTTGCAGGCTACAAGATCACCTTCAATGAAGAAGAATTATACAAGATCCTTTTGACGGTCAAAGCACATGGAAACCCTAACATCACCTACCAGGAGATTCCACTGCTGCAGTCTGGAGCCCATCAGCTCTGCCTTACTCTTGGGTAGTTTCAAATCCCTGACAAGGCCTTTCAGTTCCCCTTGTGTTATGAGGTGTGGTTCAGAGGAGGAGGATGGGAGAAAATCTGTGACCTTGATGGTTCCAGACCAGAAGTTTCATCCTCTTCCACGTCTGACTCAAGTGAGAATGATTCTGGTGCATCATGAACCGGCAGTCCTTCTCCGTGGGGTACTGGGCATATAGCTGATGTAATGTTTGGAAAATGCACAGTCCACTTTTTCTTTTTTGACACACCTTTCCAAACTGGAGGCGCCATGCAGAAGCAACAATTGGTGATATGATGTTGGCTCTCTGCAAACCATTGGCACTGCAAGAGGCATATATTTCCTTTTACTGTTCAACCACTGGCGAAGATTTGTTGCACAAGTGTTGCAGCATATGTGTGGGGCCCACATCTTGTCTTGATCGCCAATTTTTCAGCCAAAATAAAGGTGATAGGCTTTCTTAACCATAGTGGTTATACTTCGCTTTTGTGATGCAAAAGTCACTTCACCAAAAACATAGCAGAAGTTATCTGCTTTGTTCACCTAAGTACGAGGCATATTTGCTCCCTTTGGCTAAATAGAAATGTGTCCCTTTGCAAAATCAAACATTGAGAAATAAGAGAGCACGGCACAGCATGATTCTAGAGCTGAAATAGGGCAATTTGTTCAGCAGAGGGATGTAAGCCTAGTTATAATTGCATCATCCATGACTTCTAGGAATAACATGATGCAATTCTTCACTTACAGCTTTCGTGACTGGAGGAATTCATTTATTATTTCTATCTACGTGGCTTTACCGAAAGACCCAAAGAATATGATGCAATTCATATCATGTATGATGCAATACCAGGTTCAGATTGCATCATTCATTTTTTTGCTCAAAAAGCAAGTACTGTCCACACCCAGTCATAGATTTATTCATAGATCCAGCCAAATATGTATTTGAGTAATTCATGGTTTAAATTGAGATCCTCTGCCATTCACAAGTCAAGCATCGTATATACTAACTCAGTAGCATATCTTGAAAACTAGAGCCAATCAACAATGCATCATTTTCATTCTCAGTGGCCCAGAATTAGTACAGTTGGACTACATTTATTTCGAAACTATTTTGGCTGTAGACCAGTGTCATTATACGTGTGATTCATTACATTTACCCCATACCGGCTACACAAGCAAGAGATTGGTCATCTCCAAGAGTTCTATTTGGTCCTGATGAGGTTGTTGGTTTAACAGTTATTTCTTGACAAACGCAATTAACATTGTAATTGCTGTCTGTTACAGCAGTGGCATTGAATTCATCCTATGGGTTATGGGTTATTATTTTTAATTAACGAAACTGATATTTCTTATTGTGTACCCGCGTGAGTGGCACTCGCAATTTGGAACAAAGGTGCAGTTAACGTGCATAATTGTAAAAATGCATTACGAGTCACATTGAACCAATTCAAGACACAACTGAGATTTAGTTACAGCCATTTCCAGAAGACATTATGAAGAAACGGTACACTTCTTTACATAAGCAGAATTGACCAGAAATGCCAGGGCTTGCACACTCATGAAAAATAACACTTTAGACTGAGTGATGCTTTTCTATATTAGTGAGAAGTTGTGTTTATTACTATTGTTATTAATAGAGGCCCCACGGCTCTAACAGTGGTCAGTTTTTGGCAGGGCGACGTAACAAAACGACTTACCCCTTTGGTTTTCCGCCATCACCGCAGAGTGCCGCTTGTAGATCTCCCAGTACGAGTGTTTGGAGAATTCGAAAATCCAAAACTGAAAGAACTCGTTCATAATGAGCTCCTGCCCTTCCTTTGTGTAGTTGACTTTGAGGAGCTCGTGCTGCACGTGACCCAAGTCCTCGGTTTTCATGAACATCGCCCCAGTGGGGACAATCACGGTGACCTGGTGTCCACGCTCAATGAGTCTGGCACAAAGAAAGTCAATTATGTAGATTTAAAAAATACAAAGACGTGGTGAAGTGGCTAAGTGGCTCAGAGATTGGAGTGGCGAACCGGCACTGCTGAGATCCGGGCTTGAAATCCAGGTAGCCACCTTTGACTAAATCACATTCTCAAGTATAGTCAGTTCTCCTATATCGTGGCAGTTACGTTCATGAAGAACACCAGGTTCTGGAAAATTGCGTTCTAATAAATATAATATTGGGGTAAAGCAGTCCACGATAACACGTGAGATGTGTATGCACACCGAACAAAGACTTAGGCACGTAGATAGCATCTAAAATCATCCAGCAGAATCCTGCCTTGTGCGATGATGCTACGCCGAGGCAGCCGTACAACCACGTATTCCGACTCGTGCGATGTAGTTCCATTTACTCAATTGCGTATATCCAATTTGCGTTATGAAAACACGTGTTATCGGAGAACAGACTGTATAGTGAGTTGATGGTCTCAGCCCTGTTATCAATAACAGAACGAAACATCACATTAAACGTAGTTCTCAATTCGAGGTCTGAAAAATCCAATATGAAAGGGTGTGAAGGAATTTGTATAAGTAAGAAATAGGTTGCACACGGAAAAAGACTTGATGCATTAAGGGAGCGATGAGAAGGAAACTGGCACCATTTTAACAATTGTGGGATTGACAACAGCAAGAAAATTAAAAGTGTGTTGTTGGGAAAAACGGAAGGAACCGGAAAGAGAGGAAGACCTAACAGAAAATGGCTTGACGACGACAAAAGAGATTGGAGCCAGAAAGATGTGGCGTTACTTGAGCATATTGGTACAAACAGAGGAAAGTGGAAACAAATGACAAAATGTGCAGTGGACACCTATTCGGACGATGATGATGATGTGCAGAAATGTACTTCCTTCATACAGTCCGTTATTACTAGTCAGTTAGCCAGTCACTCAGTAAATACAATATATTACGTTTAATCATTTATATTTTAGGTCATATTGCATAAGCAAAATGTGTGTCGTAAACACTCCTCCTCCTGACACAGCCAATTAATAAATGAGTTACATCGACATGTGCCAATATACTACTGCTTCAGCACACCGGTATGCTGGAGTGCAACCCACAATGTTTAACACGTGTGTGCAATATAGGAATAGGTTTTACCCTTTTAACTGGCACAAAAACTGACACCTTTATTCAAGGCATCATGTTTGCAATAACCACAACACAAGCAGTCAAAATGCAAACAAAAAAGACAACTCTGATAATAATATGCACTGTCCTTGAATTTGATTGGTCCACACCCGAGACAGCTTTTTCTTAGAGCCTAGTCTCCATTGGTGTTGGACCAGAAGACGCCAAAAGGCGTACAACTCAAAAACAGCACACTATCAGAGCATTGAGGGCTCGGGGTGAGCATTTACATTATGAGACCTCCTTTGCCAGTAACAAGATATAGGAATAGGTTTTACCCTTTAAACTGGCACAAAAACTGACACCTTTATTCAAGGCATCATGTTTGCAATAACCACAACACAAGCAGTCAAAATGCAAACAAAAAAGACAACTCTGATAATAATATGCACTGTCCTTGAATTTGATTGGTCCACACCCCAGACAGCTTTTCTTAGAGCCTAGTCTCCATTGGTGTTACGCCTTTTGGCGTCTTCTGGTCCAACACCAATGGAGACTACCTGGTGAAAAGGTTAAATATTATAAAATGCTCTATAAAATAACGTGTGCTGAAGGAGTATCAACGTTTGTTCAACTGACAACTTTATTAATGGGCTGTGTTGGGTGGAGGAGGGTTTACAACAAACATTTTACTTATGAAATTTGATCCAAAGCATGTTACGAATTCTAATATTGGGTGCAAAAGACTAAATTTTAAATTCACATTGCATCACTTGGCATAAAAGCAATCCATCAGAAGGTATGTTTTCCATCCGTGTAGATCCCACTCGTGCTGTGTTCGAAAGATGCCATATTTTTCAGGTGGAGAAACCATGACTTGACACCATGTGTTACCCTACGTCTCCGATCTGATTACAGGCTGCTGCCATCTTTGCCCACGAAGCGGCAACGATGGACAGTTTAACACGTAGCCTTTCGCGACCAATATTATGGATGGACAGTTATGTTGGTTAGTAATGGTTGCCCTGACATATCCCTCACGGATCATGGCCATAGGGCACGTAGGCTAATAATATGTACCGTACGTTCTGTAAAAACTCAACAAATCACGATGCGGTGTTCTCTCCACGTTAGTGTACTTCGCTAATTTTCAGGGGGGGGGGCACTTTTGCTGATAAGACATCATCAGCGTGTGGGCCACCACACATTTGAAACCAATGGGGGTTGACAGCAGAATTATGATGGGAGATCTTTTCACAGTTGTGTACTGTCGGGGGGTCCGCACATCAGGGGCAGCATGAAAGGCAACCAGTGGCGGCCAGTGGCCCCACGGGTCTACGTACTCGTCCATGATGACTCTGATGTTGAACCAGTGACTCGCATCAGCTGGCCACACGAGAACATTCCCAGCGTGTATGGCTTGTGGAAAACCAGCGATGAGACAAAGGGATGCCCACACCAACAGCATTTTCTGCAGACAGAAATGTACATAAATACATTGTCATCAAACTTTATTTTAAGCTTTCGTGACTGCAGGAATGACTCTTTGGTTATTTCGGTACAGTCACGTAAAAAGAAAATAAATTAAATAATAGAATACGACGTTTCGATTGCAACACAAGCAGTCGTCATCAGGTAGAACTAAATTTGAGAGAGAAACAAAACACAGACATGGAGACACACAGACAGACACATAAGCAGAGAGACAACACAGAGAGAGACACACAGAGAGACACTCTATAAAATTTACCAGGCTCTGAGAGGTCCATTCGCTCAATCTCCCCCCCCTGCCGCCGCGGGGTGGATTTCACACAGCTCTTTCATTGACATGCTAATTTCTTTCCCCCGGCCGCTTTGAGGTGGATTTCCACACAACTCTCTCTAAAATGGACCATTCTTGCTGGGTCATTCTCTCCCCCTGCCGCCGTGGGGTGGATTTCCACACGGCTCTAATTTAGCAATCTCTGGAGAACGTAATCAACCAGGATATGTGTTAACTGTGTGTGAGCCGACTCTCTGTGTTGCATTGCATTACATTTCCCCCCAAAATTGGTAAGTTTGTTTTCTCAAACTGCCTATTTCTCTCTCTAAGATTTACCAGGTTCTCATAGGTCCATTCACTCTCTCTCCCCCGGCCGCCACGGGGTGGATGTCCACACAGCTCTCTCATTGACATGCTAATTTCTCTGCTCCAGCAGACCCACCTCTCTCTTTGCCCCCGCCCTCGCTATTTATGGCCACGACACAGAGGCATTGGGTCTCTGTGTGTCTATGTTGTGTGTCTCCCTCTGTGTGTCTGTGTGGTCTCTCTCTGCTTGAATGTCTGTTTGTGTGTCTCCGTGTCTGTTTTGTCTCTCAAATTTAATTCTACCTGATGACGACTGCTTGTGTTGCAATCGAAACGTCGTATTCTATTTAATTATATATTTTTCTACGTGAGTTTACATTGTCATCATCGCTTTCATAGCCTTTGCACTCATGAAGAGAGGTACACGCCAGCACACATGGGTGATGTTTGCAGAGTAGTGTTTATGATGCACACTGCGCAGTGAGCTTTACACCAGAGCCATAACTAACCATCGCGTCGCAGTGGTGAGATGTTAACTAACTCGCCTGGTATACAGGAAGTCGTGGGTTTGGTCCCGACCCTGATGCCTCCTGTATATTTGGAGTCTGCATCTCTCCCCGCACGGTCGCGTGGATTTGTATTCGGGTCCTCTGTGTTTTCTATCCACATTTAGAATAAACATCACGCATGCAAAGTAGTTGGCTGCTATCAATTCCCAAATGATGATAAGCCACTTCGTCGGGCTCTCATTTGTGATAGCCAGGTCGTTTCTGAAAAAAAGCAATATAGCTTAGTGGGCTTTACCTGGTAAAACACTTTTTTAATTCAATGTTGTGTGATGTTCTTTCTAGATATTTCCATGCCTGTTGCACAGTCAAACTTCCAGATCATTCACCGTTTAAATCGGGCGACCAATCAGACAGCCATTGGCCGATTAGGCATCGTTTGGCTGCTCCTGCTAGCCAATTAGAGCAATCCCGGCTCGCCTCTAAACCAATGGGAGGCTCTCCACGCCGTATTCAAACAGAATACTCAGCAAGTTACAAGAGTGGTTCTCAACCTTGTTTGGCTACAACTGTTTCAACCGAATACCTCCTTGCCTGACCCAACATGGTTCTGAGAAATACATGTGTAGTGGTTTAACTTCACACAAACAACTCTCGTCTTTCTTCAACCACTTCTTTATTTTCATCGTTTAACACGTCCTCCACACTCCACCGTATCCTGGACACCACGGCTCACTCGCCGTGCTTCGCCCGTCTCGCTCACCACCTTGGTTCCCAGTATCATGTTGCTTGCTCCGCACACACGTCTTCAACTCTATTCCTACGCTCTCTCCACTGCTGGCTATCCTCCTCAGCTCCTCCGCTATACAGCCTTGTCGCACACAGCAAAACCCAATCTCACTTCTCTGTCGCCGCACACCTCGTCTCCAGCTCCTCTATTACTACGCTCTCTCCACTGCTAACTGCTTCGTCTTCTTCAGCTCCACTAACTCAACGCTCACTCCACCGCTAACTGTTCCGTCTTCTTCAGCTCCGCTAACTCTACACACACTCCTGGCTTCCAACTCCGGACCCCAACTCTCCTCAGCTCCCACTCACCATTCTCTCCAGCTCCGACTCCCCAACTCTCCGTCCCTCCTCCCAATTTATCCCCCTTCACATTATTGCTAATTAATTGGGCCGCGTGCCTCCGCACACAACGCGTCATCCACCACCTGTCTCCTCTCAGACATCCCGGCGCCTCTCCAGCCCCGACAACAGTCCCAGCCAATCACCACCGTTGCTTCCCGTCTACCTTAATTGGCCCAACCGATTACCTCACCTTCCAGCTTCTGCACGTGCCTGTCCTAAGGCGACCCACGCTGTTTACGCCTTCCATACGCTAGCCCCCAAATAACCTCACACTGTCCGTGTGATCAATACAATCGCGCAGTTTCCCCAGCACACCTTCCTACTCCACTACACATGTGTAGTGACTGAACTCGGAGACTAGAAGACTTGGAGGAACTATTTTCTCAACCGAGCACCCTTTGCACAATGCACAGCTAACGCTGGTACACACTCTTCTGTCGCTCGTTTATACACAACTCTAAGTGGGTTGTTAGCCTATACACAACACTTGCCGTCTAACACCTACGGCACTGAACATAGACAGCCAACTACTGTCTAGCAGTGCAATATCGAGTTAAAATGACAGCGACAATGGCGACGAGACGACAGCAATGATGGCGACAATCTTCAACTGCACGACGGGGATCCCACTTCATACGACAGCCTGAGCTATCGCTCAGGGCCCTACTAGCGGGCTCCCGGGCTCCCCCCACATGCCCTTTCTCTAACCTTTCTCCTAGATATCCCCGCTGGTGTATCACCTGGCCTGCTGATGTCAGGAATGTTGTAAGCCGCAGATCCCGTTCCCTGCCAGCAGCCAGCACTATCCTGCTGCATAGCTAATTCTATGTCGCTACACATGTGTAGTGGTGTATTCACACAGACACTGTCAGCTTTTCTCCTGTGTCACTTTATTACTTCGCATCACACATGGATGCTCCTCACTCTTTACACAACGCACTCTTGCTCCAAACTCTCTCTCTTACTCTGCGAGCCTGTTATTGAATACTCCGCTAGCCTGTTACTAAACACTCCGCTAGCCTGTTACTTAATACTCTGCTAGCTTGTTACTGAATACTCAGCCTTCTCACACACCTCCAACATCTTCCGTGCCCCCAGCGGGGGATCAGCCAACACCGCTGGTGAGGACGAGGTGTGAAGGGCAAGGTCCCAGGCCTCTTGTCTCCGGCTCTTGTCCTCTTCATTCCTTCAGCTCCAACTTACTCAACCCCATGTTCTCTGCACACCCCTTTATATCCCCCTCCTCATTAAGGGTCCTCAGTTGCTCCCTATTAAGCCAGCACCTCGGCGGCGCCTCCTGCACATGCTTTCTCTCCCTTATTGTCTCCATTTCCCATCTCTCCGGCGCCTACTCTGTGTTTGCATGCTTGCAACTGCCTGTCCCTAAATGCACCCACCTATTTATTGCTTCTCCCCTTAATTGCTGGAGCCTCTCTGGCGGCTGTTGCATGTCGTAATGCTTGCACCTGCTCGCCCTGAAATGCACCCGCTGTTTGCAAACCCCGCGTGTGAATGCATTCGCTGTTTGCTACCGTGCACGTGAATGCATCCGCTGTTTGCAACCCTGTGCGTGTTACGCCACTATACGTGTAAAGACACTACGGAGCGATAGCGGGACAGTATGGTTCCCCGGGACCATGGTTACTAATGGACGTGCTAATGATGATTGATGAGACAAGCGTTTGACAGTGCCATGTGAGGGGGAGCACGGGATCCAATGGCGGGAAAGTATAATAGGGGCGGCGATTGACAGAGCCAGGTGCGGTGAGGAGAATTCGAGAATAGGGGCGTGGCCGGATCGGGCGAGGCATAAGAGCCGGCGTGAACCAGACCTGGGGGCTGTTGGTTTGGGGGATCGCCATCGTCGTCGGCATGGAACGGGTCGTCTCCATCATCTTCAAGTTGTCTTGAGACTAGATGCTATGTTGTCTCAGAATAGAGTCGTCTAACTACCCAAATGTATATAGTCACTCGCGGTTACTCGTTGAGTTGTCAGCGAACTTTATTCATCTCCATATATTTAAAAGGCACAGTTGTGAATACGTGTGTCTGTTCAAAATGTTTAGCGTCCTTCCCGACATGCAACAAACTTGAAATTTGCTATGTGGGTACCTTCCAGACTGTACACCATGCAAACATTATGAAAATACACTTTTTTTGGGTGGGGGGCTCAATAATGCATATATTTTTTGCACGGCAAGTGAGCTGTGACGTCAAATCTGTCACGTGACCCGCGCATGTGGAAGCGTAACGCATTGTAGTGTAGTGGTTAGTGCGCTGCGCTACGAACCCGGCGACCCGAGTTCAATTCCCGCTCACGGCCACCACCGGTGACGATTATTTTAACCGGTCCTGGGTCTCCCCTAGGTCGACTCAGCCTCAAACAAGTAACTGCTGTGGTGTGTGGGGAGACAGAGGCGGCCGGCCGTGGTGCTGGCCACCCACCCCCTCGTGTGCCGTGCCGGCCTTCATAGGGGCTCGCTAACAGCACTTGCCCCCTACAGGCTACACGAGATATCTTTGTCTATATCCTATGTGTGTGTAGGGGGGGGGGGCATCGACTGCGTAGTGATTCGCGCGACGCTACGAACCCGGCGACCCGAGTTCGATTCCCGCTCACGGCCACCACCACCACCACCGGTGACGATTATTTTAACCGGTCCTGGGCCTCCCCTAGGTCGACTCAACCTCAAACAAGTAACTGGTGTGGTGTGTGAACATCGCCACTTGGGGAGACAAAGGCGGCCGGGCGTGGTGAATCCAAGTCCCGGGCGAAGCCGGGTAGTACAGCTAGTAATAAATATACGGAAAGACAAGACGTTGTCATTTTGGGAGGTATCCTAACACGCGAGGAACTGCAAGAGAATTAAAAAAAAGTCAACGGATTCTCTGCATGCGTGACATAATTTGTTCCCGCTCACTGGTTACTATTGTAAACCGCATTGTTTACAATCAATGAGTTTAGAAAGGTATTTTTCACATCGTTTCAGGTTACAATATTATCGGTAGATGCATACGTGATCAGTCACCAATTACTCACGTGTGATATAATTTCAAACATGTAGAAATAACCCCCTGGGAAATTGGCACATACCCCCAGGGCTCCGCGTACCCCCAGTCGAGAACCACAGAGCTACACTTTGAACGTCCCTTATACTCCATATGCCAGGAGTGCAGATACACGGCAGTGTCATTCATATCAATAAAATGCATACCACCTGCAATAGCCATAGCAATCTGCGCCTTTCTACAGCACTTGTGCACACTGGAGAATACAGAAAAGACTTAAACATCGACATGTACTACGTACAGTTTAGAGTTATTTGTGAAACCACTGCTGGTTGATGGCCACACCATTCCATTGAAATATTGTGAAAGGCGCCTAATGAGTATAGCTTATTATTAACACGTGGAAAGTTTGTACATTTGTTTATTCATACTTCACCAGCACTGGTTGGCACGTAATTACCCTCGCGAGATTTATAGAATGTTGGTTTAATAGAGATATAGCATATGCGTTGAGGTAGGGGATTGTTGAGGAAGTGACGATGGATGGTTGGGTCGATGTGGTTACAGTATGTCGTGAGGGTGAGTATACTGTGTATGTGTGCACAGTGGAGAGCACAGGCGGTATATCTGTGGATCAACTCAACCAGTCAACCCATAGCGCCTGGGTCTTTGTGTAAATGTGTGAGCGGCAGTGCAGTGGTTAGCGCGCTGTGTTACGAACCTGGCTCCCTGAATACGATTTCCGCCCACGGCCATCACCAGTGACGATTATCTGAACCAGTCCTGGGACTCCCCTAGGTTGACTGAGCATCAAGGAGTACCTAGTGTGATGTGTAAAAAGAACCTCATTCAGGAGGCAAAGGGGGCCGGTCATGGAGCTGGCTTTCCACTCCCTCGTGTGTCGTTCCTGCCTTCATAGGAGCTCGCTAAGAGCACTTGCCTCAACATTATTTTAAGTCTTTACGGGGGATCTTTGTTTGAGTGAGTGATCATTTATCCCGCATGCCCAGCCACCATTGCGCATGCGGGTACTCGTTGAATCCCCCTCCAACCCCGGAAAGAGGAGGATTCAACAGGTGCTGCGTGAGTTGCAGAAGAGATTGACTGATGCGGTAATAGGAGATTGACTGGTACCAGCAGTGCCAAGATCGGGCTCTATGTAGGGGGCTCGTGAATGACGCTACTAAGCAATTGGAGGCAGTCGCCCTCCAACAACAACGGAAGGCAGAGGAGCAACGCTCACAGCAATGAGCAGAGCGCCGACTGGCTAGAATGCAGCAAGTTATACTGGAAGAATCCGATGAGCTATGAAGCTCTTTTTCACAGATGTCCAGTAGAAAGTTAGAGAAACAAAAGAATACAAAAACACGATAGGAGTGCAAAGTATTGGAAAGGTAAGCAAATCATAAACATGTAAATAAACTTTTTATTTAACCAGGTAAAGCCCACTATGCTATTAGCTTATTTTTCAGAAGTGACCTGGCCACAAATGACAGCTCAACGAAGTTAATTATCACGTGGAAATATATAGCAGCCAAACGCACTAAACGCGTGTTTCTATGGCAGAAATACAAAAAAGAGAACGTGGATGCGAGTACTGTGGAGTATTTATTTTAGCAACTTATTATCATTATTCATATTTCATCGTGAAATTATCTATTTCCCATCAAATACGTGATTTAAAAAGGGTTTCTGCATTGTTTTTTATGCTTTTTGTTTGTTGTAATTGTTTTAGATATATGAAATAGTTTTTAAGGTTTTCTGCATTTTCAAGTGTGATTTTATTGAGGTTTTGGGGCCGATCTTTTGTTGTCCGTCGGAACGCATCTCCATTTAAATAATATTCAGAATGTCACTTTACGGACAACTTTTTATTAACTATCTGTTCTATATGTGGAAGAATACCTGTACTAGCAAATCATTGTTCTTTCTGTGTCTAAGTCGCAGGGCTAATCGTTCCTCAATCTGCTTACCCCTTATCCATTGCGATGACATGCGTACGTCTACGATAAGCTAAGCTAAAATAACTATCGGTACCGAGGCTCCCACAAGGGCGTGTGGCACAGTTTGGCACCAGCTATTGTAGAGCCCGGCGGTCGCGTCGCTACTGTGTCCCTCTAAATAAAATAAACGCTGAGCCGCTCGCGCGTTCCGAAGTTCAGTGGTGGACGGGACACCCACCCTGTAACCTGGAGGCGTCTTAGAAAGTGGAAAGGGTTAACATATCCTTGGTGTTGTGACGCCCCTGGTGAAGGTGTTTTTCGCTCAGTTTCATTTTTTTTCCGCAAGCAACTCATGTGTCATACAATTAAGTACGAATTTTCACACTTTGTTAATCCACTTCTGGATGAAAACCTCTCGAGGTCGTATTGGCCTTTGTACAATTAGACTTCACCAGGCCACTCAGTACAGCTTGTTAATATCTGGGAGCATTGGAATACAGTCCCATAATACATTTTACTGCAATGCACTATACTTGTACTGCGGACCATGTAGGCCTGCAGCCAATAATACATGTTTGCATGGTAGTTGCCCACCCAAGCATAATCCTCAAGCATGCGTAGTTTCTGAGATCTGAAACAATCCAGGTGGTTGAGTCACATACATACTATTGCATGCTAATATTATTCCTGTCGCAAGTATCAGCATATTCCCAGGTCAATGATGATTCATTATCTTACCATGATGGCCCAGTTTTGTTGCTATCACAACGGTCACGAGGGGGTGAGTGACCAGCACCACGCCCTGCCGCCTTTGTCTCTCCAGTGGCGATGTTATTACATGCAAGACCAGGTACTTATTTGAATCTACCTAGGGGAGGCCCAGGACCGGTTTAGGTAATCGTCAATGGTGTTGCCCTCAGTACAAACACACACAGACACTGGAGCATGGCTTAACTGAACCCCAATATCTCATTCAGGTTGATAAAATAGTTATCACTCCGTGGATGTCAAAAATGGTCATTCTAGATAAGCTGGCCATGGCCATTGGAACGTTGAAACTTTCAACCATGGCTGCGGGGCATCAATGTAGGCATGCACCAATCTACGTTCATATTGACAAGGGGATGTTTGCCTTTGATGTTTAAAGTGTTTATCAATATCGTACAATTCACATTTGTTGTCCTTCCCTCGCACATCAGATTACCATGGTTGTCTACGTACGGTGCGAAAGAGGTGCAACGTACATACATACAAAGGTTTGACATTAACAGTTGAAAATTAATTTAATCCGGAAATGCATGTGCATTACTCTGCAAGCCAAAGCTCAAGCTCTCTACTCCCCGTGCCACATCAGATATTGAACAAACATACAACTCAGAGTTTGCCAACAGTGAAAGTTCATGAAAAAAACGTAATTTTTCTTACCAGAATCTGCGCATGAAGCTAGTCACGTGAATATACAGAACAAATCCTGACATACAATGTGTTCAGGAAAAAAACACATGCTCTCCGTGATAGGGTGCGGCCAGTGCAAAGTCTATCAGGGTAGGGACAAAGTAAATTTTGACTTTGCTCTTTGCTCGATGTGGATATGTTGACACACGCCTGTGGACTGGTATCTTGGGGATGTGGAATTTGGTGGGTTATGCGCTGATTATGGCTCGTGAGGTTGTATATTTTAAATAGTTGAGCAGAGCAAGTTATCCATTTATCAAGGCATATTTTTTATTCTCAACTATTTGTACAAATGCTACATCCAGGAAATGCCAACCACTGGGATTTTGCAGACAGTTTCCTGGTCTGCATGGAGGAAATAATTATACAAAGCCTGGACATCAATAAATACGTATTTAACTTAATTGAGGCATTTTGAGCATCTGGTGAAGTGCAAATAGTGAAGGCAATGCAGTGGTTGCTCAGATGAATTCTAACCACATGAACAAATGATAATGGAATTACCAACTATCTTAGATTGTGGGTCAGGTGAGATTATTACATTGGGACCGATAGATTGTGAGATTTAAATTTCAAGGTAAAAACTACTGGTACTTGAAAGGATGGTGCCAGAACTATTAAGACATTAAGTCCACTACAGCAAATTACTTCTTGTTGTGACTATGCCACCTGATGACGGAGGCTTGTGTTGCTTCCGAAACGTCGTGATTTGATTAACTTTATTTTATGTTTTACCCACGTGACTTTACCGAAAGAACAAAAGAGTATGGATCATTGCAGTCACGAAAACTTCAAATCTAGAAATAACTATTAAGTTGTTTATAGCAACACGGAACAGGAAAGGACTGTTTTCCAGGAAGATCAATGTTTAAACACAATTGCTTCAAAGCATCTTATTTTATGGATAGTGTGAAGGAGAGAGCAGGAGTTTTTGTTTTGAATGTAGATTGCAACTCCACCACTTATTTACAGCTGGTCCAACTTGAAGGGACCGGTTGAAAATTCGTTTAGGAAGTTCAGATCATTCACATTTAATGTCAGAACGGCGGACAATTTCAGGACACAAGTTGTTGAGTTTCACCTTGAAGGGCACAAATTTCTGTAAAACACCTCCGATATTGACTTTAACTATGCCAAGGCCTTTTCTATGAGAACGCTCTTGGAAATCATACTTGTGTAATGAGCGACTTCCACGACACGTCGTAGAGAGGGTACTTGTTCTTTATTACTCACACTGAGCACAACACAGGCCAACGCTTGTTCTTCCTCACACTGAGTATAACTCTAGGTAATAACACCTCCACTGGCTACACGCACAGCCGATCACTCGGCGTGGTCCCCTCGCCCTCACTCGGTCATGCCGCTGGCTGGCAGCGTGACGATGACGGCGATGGAAACCACGCAGGAGATCTCCCACGTGGCCGGACGATGGAGAGAGATGTCGGTGAACAGCGACACAGCCAGGACCCAGGACCCCACACGCAAGCCCCGAGCTCTGGGGCCGCTTCCCCTTATATCCCCCCAGGCGTGGCTAGGCCCCGCCTCCGGCCACGCCCTCTCGTGGAACCTTCGAGCAGGTTCCCGGAGTACCTCGGCTAACCACATCTGTTACCTTTTCTCCAGATACACCTCCTTCCCTGATTGGTTGTTACTTCTGTGCCCGTACCCGTGAATCCCTTCCCAGGCCAGCAGGTGTCACCCTGTCATTATACTCACAAACCATTAGGGAATCGGTGGACAATGCAAAATTACCTGGGTCATATTCTTAACCCTCTGAGGAGAAGAAATCTGATTAAAAGCATCCTGTAATATTTTCTGAAAGGTATAAATGGCTTCATTCCCAACTATTTTAGGTCGACAACATTATGGGCAGTTCTGGCAAGGCAAATTTTATTGATAGAGTGATAGTACAGTGGGGTACGCAGACCGCTGGGAGTTTAATGGGGTGTACGTGAGCTAATTTATACATGTGTGAAATTATATCATATGAGAGTCATTGGTGATTACTCATGTTGTATGAATCTGCCAATATAAAATAACTACGATACAATTTCAATCCAAATGGAAAAGTAAAATGATGTAAAAGACCTTTCTAAACTCATTTTATCGTAAACAATGCAGTTTTCCAAGAGCAACCGGCGAGCATGACCAAATTATATCACACATACAGGGCATCCATTGAATTTGTTTTTATTCGCTTGCAGTTATTAGCTAGTTATAATACCTCCCAAAATTTATATTTGGTTAAAATATTCACGTTCATTATTAATAAATGCATTTCTTAGAACCACATTGGGTCAGGCAGGGGGGAACTCGGTTGAAACTAAACTCAACAATGGGTGGGGGGGGGTAGAGCAGAAGCCAAACAAGGTTGACAACCACTGCTCTTGGAGCAGTGCAGACCGCTCACGAGTTTGAAATTCCTGACGCATTTTCAGGGAATCAGATATTGCATCATCGCCAAGGTTCAGTCCGTCTGAGACCATGTCTCTCCCTGCCATACTAGCATCGCCCCCCATCACACTTCATCCTGCGGACGGTGGGCCCCCAGGACAGCACCACGTAGCCATTTTGGGCTGGGCTCGACCGGCTTACGTGGGTCACCCGGCCACCAGGCGCTTGCTGGTGAACACCACCTCCAGGCTTGGCTCCAGTGGAGTGTCCTGGTATCCCTTGTCTTGGCGAGTCGAGGTGGTTCGGGCACCTGGTTAGTATGACCCTCCTATAGAGTCCCCCTATAACTCTACCAGGCACGTCCCACTGGGTAAAGACCCCTGGTCCGGCCCAGGACACGTTGGCGGGACTATGTCACCTGGCCAGCCTGTGAACTCGCCAGGAAAAAGCTAGAGTCTGTCGCCAAGGAAAGGGAGGTCTGGACCGCCACTACTCAACATGCTGCCACCGTGATCCTCACCAGGACAAACGAACAGACATTGCACATACGTTCACCACTGTTATACCATATCCATTGCAACCGTCATGATACTGCGACTGCTGTTGCTGGGTCATTTTTGAGAAATGTGGATATGTTCATATAAAAGCCTTCCCATGGTGCAAGACTAAAGATCTCTCGAGAGATTACAGCTTTAATCCGGTCCCATAATTATTAACCAATTAATGTGGGAAAAGCGAAATCAACTATAATTATGAAGCATAATGGCTATGGACTTAATTCATGTCATTGCTGACCCATATGATGAGATGAATGTACATTGAAAGGTAAATTAAATTCAGAAACAGCCATTTTATGTCTGCATGTGCTGCATGCACGATATTACCACTTCCATACCTTTCATGTTCGTGAAAGGTTATTACGAAGGTATCCTGACCCGTTTATATTATGCATTTCACATAAAGCTACATTTGCATTACACCTTGTATCGATCAATATAGCAAGCAAGCAATAGTCGCTCAATTTTATTAAGGGACCCTCCACCAAATCCTAAATCAGAATCTGCATTTATACTACAGGAGGAATCCGATGATCTATAAAGCTTATTTTCACAATGTCTATTTGGGGCACGGGCTAAGAACGTTACAACATGATGGAAATGCAAGACAATACAATTTGGATTCAGGTCGCATTTACATGCAATCAAATGTAAAGACGATGTACAGAAAGAGCTGTTTCGTAATTGTCAAGTCACACAACGCCGTCAAAAAGGACCGCAATCAATTTAATTTTACAAAGAGATGACACAGTGATCCGGCTCCCGTCACTCCTTCTTGCCCTTCTTGGCTGCCACTTTGGCCGCCCTCCTGCAGTGGCAGCACAGGCGGCAGAGGAGGACGGGCAGTGCGAGGGCGAGCCCTACAGCAACGCTCAGGAAGGCGACCACGTCCAGGCAGTGCAGCTGATACCAGGCGAGTCGATGCGCCGCTGGGCGCAGGTGGCGCGCGTGGCCGTGACGCATCACGAACTCCAGCGCGTGCACCGCACGGTCTATCGGTCGCTCGGGCTGGTCGTGGTGGAGGCGCGAGAGGCGCTCCATGCTCTGCTGGTAGCTGTGGACATCACGCGTTGGAGGACATAATCAATTTAAAACTATTAAACTATGGCCATTTTTCAGAAACGACCTGGCTGCAAATAATAGCCCAATGAAGTGGCTTATCACGTGGAAATGTGTAGCAGCCAAATACTCTTAAAGCACGTTGATTCATCCACGAGCCAACGGGGAGAGAGAGACATGCAAACTCCAAATATAAAGGTGTCAGGGTTGGGATCAAAGCAAACACCTCCTGCATACTGGGCGGCGCCACCGTGGCAAACAGTTACGCAATAGACCGCTTAGTTACGGCCTTTTTATTTTTTATTGATTTTTAACAAAGTATATGTTTACTATAGTATATGTTTACTAAGGATTAATATAAAACTATTTTGTGTTTTACTTATTTGTTTTAAAAAGAATGTGATTATATGCTTTGGCCAAGAATCTGCCCGGAGGAACGAATCACGACACACGACTAAGTTTAATCCTAACGAATTGCCCCTAACCATTAGACCTGTTCCCCTAGGGGTTTTTTTCCCAGACAGCCTCGTGGGAAGCGTCGGTGGCGAGATGTTAACTACGTCGCCTGGTATGCAGGAGGTCGTGGGTTCGATTCCGACCCTAACGCCTGTATATGTGGACCTTGCATGTCTCTCTCTCCCCGTGGTCATGTGGATTTTTCTCCGGGTCCTCCAGTTTTTCCCTCCACATTTAAAAACATGCATTTATATTATTTAAATTATTTTCCTGCTATATATTTTCATGCAATGAGTCACTTTGTTGAGCAATTATTATAAGTTTATAATTGTGGGCTTTATCTGGTAAGATAAAAAAAAAATCTGTTTTATTTTGTATATATTTTAAAGTTATTTGTGTACTTTTCTATACTTTGCACTGCTATTGTGTTTTGGTATTGCTTGTTGTTGTAACGTTCTGACCCCGTGCCCCTTACTGGATATCTGAAAAATAACTTCATATCTCATCGGATTCCTCAATACAGTACACAAAATTCGTGATCTGATCCCATCCGTGAAGGATGTCATTCCTGATTTACAGTACCCTGGGGTTTACAAATTGAGTTGTACCTGCGGTGATTGCTACATCGGTGAGACAAAGCGACATGTCTCTGACCGAATTCGCGAGCACAAATCAGATTTGAAACACGGCAAAACGAATTCTTCTGCCATGGCTGATCACTGTTACAACGCTGTGGGGGATCACGATATAATTTTCTCCGATACCAAGGTTCTTTGCAAACCCACGGGCTTTTATCAGAGATTTGTTCATGAAGCAATTCAGATCTACAAACACAGACACAATTTCAACCGAGAGGATGGTTTCAAATTCAGCAACCATTGGAAAGATGTTCTAATTCGAACTAAACATTAAACTAATTTCAATGGTACAGTATATGTTTCAAGTAGTGGTACCCCAAACTTTCGCAGCTCTTATAAATTCCCCCTTTTCACACCATCAATAGGTAAACTCCCCCTCCCCCCCTTCCCCCCCCCCCGTGCCAAACTGCAAGTCCACCGGCACGTACACCACCTCTTTCCTAAAATCCGCCAATCAAATGCTAATTTTTATGCTAATTTCTTTGTCAGAACACCTTGTTTGCTCGCACACAGGTCCGATGTCTGAGCGTGGTTGCGTTTCGCTAAATTCTCCTGTTTGATGAGTACTAGGTGCCTCGGTGAATGTATATGCTCTAACTTTAACACAGCTATTTATGTGACCAGTTACAAGCTAATCACTCAGCTATTTCAATGCTAAATTCGATGCTAATTCCTTTGTCAAGGGGTACCTCTGCGGATGTGTATACTTTAACTTAGCTATTTCAATGAGCCATTTCAATGCTAAATTATATGCTAATTCCTTTATCAAGGCGCCTGGTCTTTTTCTTCTCACACAGCTTAAAGGTCGTGATCTAAGCGTGGCTTCTTCCACTCCAGCGCTGTCCTCCAGACAGTCTCGTCCCTTCACCTGATGAAGGCCGCTTGTGTTGTGGCCGAAACGTCGTGATTTTTTGTTATTTTATTTTCACCTACTTGACTTTACCCAATAGAACCAAAGAGTATGGATCCTAGCAGTCACGAAAGCTTTAAATCTAGGATACATGTTCTGTTCTTGCGTATGCACCTGCTGTTATTGATGAGCAAGCTGAGTGCGTCTTGGATCTCCGGGGCAGTGACCATGATTATGTCCAATATGATAGCAACCCCACGCGTCTGCACTCTCAGGAGGTTGTCCTTCTGGTCGCCAAAAAGCGGGAAGCCGAGCATGGGGACGCCGTGGTAGATGGCCTCGTATACTCCGTTAGTCCCGCCGTGCGTGATGAAGGCGCGGGTCTTTGGGTGGCCTTTCACAGCAAGGGAGTATCACTGTTAGCATTAATGCACTCGTAAGTGATTAATCTGTTTCGATGTTAGATTTTTGGAGCAACACCCTTCGTAGAGTCAGCCACAATAGCTCCTATAATCACCCAGGAATGTCTGTCCTTAACGCTCGTGTTGTCACTCCACATAGACTAGCCCCCTCATTAATATTCATCAGCTGGTGACGTCCTCCCAATGGACAGCCCCCCACCCCTCCTCATTAACAATCATGAGCGGGTGACATCACTCAATATGGCTCAATATGGAGTACTCCCCCCCCCCCACTAACAATCATGTGCAAGTGACGTCACTCCACATCGAACAGCCCCCCTCATTAATAATCATGAGCAGGTGACGTCCTCCAAATGGACACCCCCCTATTATTATTACCTACTATAATGAGCCAAGAATGTCTGTGTGCAACACTCGTGACGACACTCGACGTCGACCAACCCCCCTCATTAATAATCATGAATATGAATCACTGCAGTCACGAAAGCTTTCAATCAAAATCATGAACAGGTTACGTCCTCTACATGGACCCCCCCCCCCCCTCATTCATAATCATGAGCAGGTGACTTCACTCCACATCAAACAACTCCCCTCATTAATAATCTTTATAAGTTGACGTCCTCCAAATGGACACCCCCTCATAATAATTAGTGGCTGACATCACTCCACATGGGGGGCCATGGAGCCTCCTCCCCCTTCCTCGGCGTCAACGTACAACCCTCACGTTACGCGATCTCCGTAACGCTATTGAGACATCAAAGTAAAAAGGACGTGATGATGAACAAGGGATTATAACCATGAAATAAAATAGGTCTGTGTCACCGTGCCGTTACAAATTGCACACACATTAATGCAATGAAAATCACGTTGCGGTCTGCTTTTCGCTTGCAAGTTTCAGATTTACTGCAATACACTCATCCTTGGACGCGCAAAAGGCTAGTTAAACAAATTCACGTTAGAAGAGGTAGTACTTGCGTAAATAATACCGATTAACAGCCCCTTCCTGAAGAGAAGGGAGAGACGGTGCAAATGTCTTTCATGTAATTGTAAATACGTGGGCTTTCCTGACCACTATTATCCATATTAGAGATTTTAAATTAGTTTTTAACTGTGTTGTCCTTCATGTTGTCTTTAACTGTGTGTTGTGGTCTGTGGAAAGTGAAGTATCTGTTGAAATGCATTAGCTGCATAGGTGTTGGGAACACTAACCCTCCTAACTGTTCGTATGTTCCAGATGGTGGTAACCAACGTGTTGACATCAAGATAGTGACAATACACTCTTAAATATTTTGTTGGATTATTTTCAAGATAAATAGATGATTCAGATGGCAATCGGGGCATCAAATGCTGATTTGATCAGCTCTTATTTTTATTAGGGCACATTCAGACTTGATGTAAGTAAAACATTCAGTGGTCTTGGCTCCATTGCATTTGCGGGTTTCACTAGGGGTGTGATGCATGCAGCATTGCACCAGAATCTCCCTTAAAGTTGTTGAGAGTGGAAAATAAACCGCTTGAACTTTTAAAGTGTCTCAGTCTCGCGTTGTGTTATTGCCGTTGTGCATACTTGTCAGGACGCCACGCCAAAAGTCATTCCCACGAAATAATTTGCAACGCCATTTGAGGACGCACTCCGAGGTGTGTCCCCTTTCGTACACATGTCACGTGAAAATTAACAAATGTAATATTTTAGAGAGATTAAATATCCCCGCAAAATGTCAATACAGTATTAATTAACGTCATGCACAAAAGCATCTGTAGTTCACGGAATTGACTGCTTTGGTAAGATGCAGCTGACCAGCTTCCTCAGGGCAACTAGGGATGGGCAATAAATGCTGGTCCACCTGCGAGACACACCCCAAAGAACAAACAAATAAATAACATTTACGTCATAAAAACACAATAAGCCATCCGTACTACAATAGGAAGTGCACTATTTGTGCATGTGGGATGGCTGATTTTGCATGCATTATGAATCTTCAAAACATTTATGTTCGTGATTTCGAAAGACAGCAACACGAATGGAAAATAACTAAGACTCAAGTGTTTCTAAATATGTGTTGACATTGATGATACTGTCAGGCAACTAGAATCCCCTAATTAAAGGGAAGAGATGGCATTACATCACTACCTGGCCAGTTCTGATATAAGCATAGTGGATTAACACGCGCATACAGGGGGGAATGGTAAAGACGCGCAAGTTATGGACAGTGGGGTTACGTCGGGCCGGCCAGGTGTGGTAGCGGGGAAACTGTGCAGTAATGACGGGCCAATTAAGCTGGAGAGCGATGGACGGCTGGGGTTGTTGTCAAGGGCGAGGTGGCGCCGGAATGTCTGGGAATAGAGAGGGCAAGTAACAGGTGCAGGGGGACACGGGGCGTCGGTGGCACGCGGCCTAATTAATTGGTTGGTAATGAGAACGGGGATATATTCGGGAGACGGGAAGAACGAGTTGAGTTGTCGCTGGGACTGGAACGAAGCAGGTCGGGGAGAACCGGAGTGAAGACATAGGAGACAGATCAGGCTAGCAGTAGAGCAGAGAGAGACAACCAGAGAGAAGCAGAGACAACGGGAGAGCGATGGAGATACAGCGAGCGACGGAGAGAGACGGAGATACAACGAGCGACGGAGAGAGACAGAGATACAGCGAGCGACGGAGAGAGACGGAGAGACAGCGAGCGACGGAGAGAGACGGAGAGACAGCGAGCGACGGAGAGAGACGGAGAGACAGCGAGCGACGGAGAGAGACGGAGATACAACGAGCGACGGAGAGAGACGGAGATACAGCGAGCGACGGAGAGAGACGGAGAGACAGCGAGCGACGGAGAGAGACGGAGAGACAGCGAGCGACGGAGGGAGACGGAGAGACAGCGAGCGACGGAGAGACAGCGAGCGACGGAGAGAGACGGAGATACAGCAAGCGACGGAAAGACAGCGAGCGACGGAGAAAGACAGGGATGACGCAGAGGGACAGTGAGGGATAGGGGAGGAAGTGTGGTGAGCGAGACGGGCGGAGCGCGGCGAGCGAGCTGCGGCTAAGCGGAATGACGGAGTCACAGACGTTACGTGAAGAGTTGTAATAAAAGTGTCGGCGAGAACAAGAAAGTTGTCCACGTCAAGTCGACCACTACATAAGTATAGGACAACTATATACGGTCTATAGATGCTGTGATGTAATATCATGAGCTTGCTACATACCCAGCAAGTCGTTCTGTGGCAGCCAGGGCACCAGCTTAGTGTTGGAGCCCAGGGAAGACGGCTTCTCTCCCATGTATCTCCACACCACCTACCAGGTCAAACAGCATCGCGTCACACACTCCAGTTGAAGGGAGAGGCAACCAGCACTCTTACACAGCTCTTACGTTGTAGACACATTCCCAGACTGGTTGTCTTGAGCTGACAAAAGCCTGATGCTCACTTTAATGAAGATACATTTTATTAAAACGTTACGACCAGTGTGCCATAACAGCACAACGGTGACATTGTGGTGTAGTTTATGAAACAATATTCAAAACACGTTGGTGGTGACATTTTAGCATTGTGGCATTGGTTTATAATTCTCTCCAGATAAACGTGATCCAGCTATGTATGTATGCATGTTGAACTTCTATCGCAATGTATGTAGCCAACCGTGCTCATCAGAGTTTTCTGGGGGGAAGGAAAAACTAAACACTGAACGTAGTTTTGATTTAAAGCTTTCGTGACTGCAGGGATTCATATTCTTGGTTCTTTCGGTAAAGTCACGTATAAGGGAAACAATAAAATAATAAATAAATAAATATCACGACGTTTCTACTGCAACACAAGCAATCATCATCAGGTGTGAAAACCACAAAATCCGTGATCCGGTTTCGTCTGTAAAAGATGTGATTCCGGACATACAGTACCCTGGCGTCTACAAACTAAGTTGCCTCTGTGGTAGTAGTTACATTGGAGTAACCAAACAACATGTCTCGGACCGCATTCATGAACACAAAGCAGACCTAAAACACGGTAGGACCAACACCTCGGCCGTGGCAGATCACTGTTATAATTCAGTAGGCTCATATGACATTGACAAGCCATCTGGCTACCATGAGAGATTCGTTCATGAGGCTATCCACATATACAAACAGAGACAATTTCAACCGAGAAGATGGATTACGGCTTAGCAATCATTGGAAGGATTTGATCAACCATTTCGGGTCTTAATTGATTGTTCATGCTTATGGTGGCTTTCAGACCGCATCCATTATTTTCGTCTCCCCCTCCTATTTTCCGAACATATATGGACTCGTCCATCAGAATAACTTCCAAATCGCTCTGCGTGGTGCTAACGTTAAAAAAACGCCACTTTTTTTTCCAATCTTCTTGCTGTGGTTTTCACACCTGATGATGATTGCTTGTGTTGCAGTCGAAACATCGTGAGAATGTTATTGTTTTATATTTTTATTATTTTATTGTTTCCCTTCGACGTGACTTTACTGAAAGAACCAAGAATACAAGTAGTTCCAAGCAGCTACACAATGCCCCATTTTATTACACACTTTTATTGAAATTGTCATGTTATGACGCTTAATATAAATCTGCATATATTATCAAAGCATGCTTGTTTGCATGTTCACCACAAGTATGTGTGTATTATGTAGACTTGATACCTTCTAAAAGGTTTCTATTTGGAGTTTGCACATCTTAACGCCTTTTTTCAATCAGAGCGAGCGGCTGTTGCTGGCCAGCGCTTATATCGCCGCTCGTCACGGCGTTGGAGAGGCCGCTGTGCTTCCCTCTTCCTTCGCGTGATACCAACAAGTACACAACACTAATTACTACGATTGCGATTCTTAACATAATGACATCCTTGAAATCGTTATAAATTGCGTTTTCATTTGCTTAGCAACGCCCCTTCTGACAGGCTGAGAGCAGCATATTTATGCTCAAGTTGCACACGCAGATGAGAGCCGTGATCACGATTTCCATTTAAATATCGTCACGCTATCGCTATTGGAATCGTCAAAATGCTCTAATTAGGACTGCTGATATAACCACTTTAAATTGAAGTGCTCTCTCTGTGCACGTTGAATACGCTGTCGCGATGTCACTGCTGTGCGTATGCACGCATTGTTATAACATTGCAGTCCATGTGTATTGCCGTCTCTCCTACACTGCAGTACCTAACGATCGCAAACACGACAAAGAAATGCGCTATACGTCTCGCCTTGCTAAAATTGTCATTTCACTCCACTGTCATATGGCAATGTGCACGCTTTCAATTGCTCGATGTTCAACTTCTCGCATAGGCTAGCCATTGTTGCCATAGATACATGCTCATAACATAGGTTCACTTCGTGCGCAATCGCCAGTGGTTGTTAAACATGGCCCCTGCCATTGGAATGTGGAATGCCCGTGAGAGCATAGAGATCTTTTGTCATTCCACTGCTGGATGACGGCCTCCACACGCCGCGCTGGTTGCGGAGGCCATTTGATCATACTTCACCCGCCACTGGTCAGTCCGAATCGCTAAAGGCGGGCAGCATAGGCGTATAGCACAACTGCATATCAAGAGTCTGCATAATACACACGTAACGAGCCCCCCGCAGCCCAATGACAACCTGCTTGTGCATGGTGGGCACCCCTCCAGCCACTGTCCCCGTTCAGATCTACTTTACTTTCGAGGTCTCAACAGATCGGCCACATTCCAAGTCAAGGTGATTCATTCATAGACCTTGAGGGTTACAGCCTTGCTGTTCTTCACAGTTAACATGCGGTGGCGAAGTATTTACCACCTTGCCTGGTATACAAGAGGTCCTGAGTTCCATCCTAACGTTGACTACTAAATACTGGCCATTAACATGTTTCTCCCCCTGTAAATCGCATTTTTTATTTTCATAAACTAGAGACGAATACTACTTCCATTTCTTTGCACTTCAACTTTACATAAGCTTACTGTATGCAAATGACCAGAATTTATGTTCAAGTGTTTACTAAATTCACCACTGTGGGACTAAAAACGTATAAAAATTGTTTCATATTTTTTACAATGCACACACTATTATTTTCACTCCAAAGTAGAAAATATATTTTTTGACCCCAGAATGAATTAAATTTGATGTGCTGAATAAAAGTGGGTGGCTTGCATAAATCAAGTTAAATATATTGAAAGGAAGCCACCCACTTTAATTCAGCACATCAAAGTTGACTAATTCTAGGGTTTGCGTATTGAAAAGCTTGTTTTTGCCAAAAAGAAATTCCCACTACTGTGGGTATGGATTGTATTTGTATTACCTTCTGTGGGAGCTGAGCCAGTGCAGAGGCGATCAATTCAGCCCTCTCCATAGGCATGTATTTGATCATGGACCCCAGCGAGAACACAATGAGGCCGTGCTCACCCGAGCTCTGCGCAAACTCTTCAAGGTCCTGAAGTCAGAGCAGAAACATGCAGAGTTACTTGCTAGGAACCACCATAAAAAGCATAATAAGTATTTTTGGGTTAGATCGCGTAAGTATAAATGTGTCGTAAACCGCGACCACCCGATGCAGCCAACCAGTAAGGTTTGTCACGTGAACAAAATGTGCCAATTAGTTACTACTTCAGCCCATCGAGTACTGTGCCATTTCGCTGGTAATAACAATTTGTAAGAATTGTGAAGAGATCCACCTGCTTCCGGTCTTGAATAGAGCAAGATGACTGCATCACTGTGAGTCTAATAGGCGTGGCGATCAGATGGGGGGATTATTGTAATGCTATCACAATAGATTGCCTCTCCCCGCAGCACGTGATAAGAATATGCATATGCTCGAGAGAGCATCTTCACTTGGAAATAAAATCAAAATACCCTGAATCACAGGCAGAATCATAACTGTGGGTGATACGATACCAACTGTGATGAGAAATGTTAAAATTTAAAAACTAACCATTTCTTTGTGCGTCGGAAACTTGTACAAAGGGGGGGGGGGGGGGGGGGGGGAGGGGGGAACCGCCCCTCCCTCCGGATGGATAGCGTAGACAGACAGACGCCTTCGAGATGAATTGAAGCGTCTGTTTCCCTTGATGGTTTATGGCTTGAGGAAGACCCGAACAGAACCATGTCATAAATGACACACACACAAACATACCCACTGACACACGAAACCCCACCACCGACACACAACCAGATCAAAGGTAGCTCCGCCTCGTAAGGAGGAGCCAAAAGGAGAAATTTTGACATAAAAATGAGCCGCTCCAGCATTGAATTCAACTCATCAGCCCACGGGGCCAGCTCAACTCGGAAGACTCATCTCACCAGAAGACCAGCTCAACTCATCTCAGCAGAAGACCAGCCACCACCGACGCAAGAGAAGCCTCTACAAACTCGCCAGATTCGCGAGGCTCGCCGATTGGCGACACGCTACCCACTGTCAGCTAACAGCGCCATCCAGAGAGAGAGAGCGCCGACGGCGCACCAGCGTGCCAGCTAGTCACAGACATACTGCGAGCATCATCTACCGACGGAGAGAGCGCCCACGGCAAGCAACTTCACCAACAACCACGCCGCTGCGAGCGGGCGAGCTCCTAACGCCATCTACCGACGGGCCATCGCAACTACAACAACGTGTCAACGTGTCAACTTGTCAACCGACGTCAGCCGAGTCCGAACCAACTACTGAAAGTCAGTAAATCATCCGTGACTGTGAGAGCATCGCAATGACCGAGTGAACAATCCGTCGTTTACAAGAGTGTTCATAATTTTCCTTATTAATATTTTGTTTTCTGGCTATACTTCAAATCGCATAAGTTACCAACTGATCCATCAATACGGATTAATCCTTGGCATCTTCACCACGGAGCGCCACTCACGGGGAAGAATAGCATGTTCAACCGGTTTCCCTGTCAGGGATCTGGCCACAATTAATTAAAAGATTGGCCCAAGATAAGAATCTCAAAGTTAAACATTGCGGCCATTGAGTTACGTGGATACGGTCACTTGGGAGTATTTGAGTCGTTCGTTTTTTTTATTGTATAATCTTGCTGATGTATCCATGAATGAACATGACGAATCTATGAACGCATATTTGTTCCTTTAGGAATAATAATGGTTTGAGTGTCTTTTCATATGAACAGCGTTGCATAATAACCAATCGTCCTACTGGTTAACAACGTGACAAGAATTTGCATTAAGGGTCGCGTATGATCAATGACCGAGTGCCGTGTTGTGTATCAATTCAAGTATACGAATTTGCATATGATAGAGTTAAGGTTTTGGTAGAATAGTTCTGCATGTTTTAAGCTCTCTCTCAACAACCGATTAATTGCATTACGCGTCGGGAATTAACCACAGGTGCCGTTATCGAAGTGAAACAATGCAATCGTGATGGTTACCGTGTTAATGCTGTGTTGAAATTCCGAGATTGAGAGTTCTCATATTATCCAAAAATTTAAGTTTAGCTAGAAAATAAAATGTATTAAATCAGAAGGGTTGTGTGTGATTCTTTCTGAAATTCCGCATAAGAATTGTTCTGCAATTGAGATCTGAACCTTGGGGGACCTATCATAAGCACACTAACACACATAATCAATAAATGTTAAAGCGAGAATAATCGTATCCTTATTGATAATACGGAGTTAAACAACAAGTCGAGTTAACTCTCTCATTCACGCTCAAAACACCTGCATAACTGCATACGATTAATTGCGTTTTACCAATTGATAACCAACCTTCGTCACCGAGGCTGGGCCCTATTATCATAACGACCTGCATTATCATAACCACACCCACTCGCATAAATTAATACGATTATCTCTCAAATTAGCATCATTCATACGCATAATTACACAAACTAACATAATTTCGGATAAATTATGCAAATTTCAAATTTTCATTATTTCATCAAATTTTCATAACCTACCTATACAACAGGGGGGAGACGAAAAATAATGGATGCAGTCTGAAAGCCACCTTAAGCGTGATCAATCAATTAAGACCGAACATAGATGGACTCGTCCATCTGAACAAACTGTCAAATCGCTATCCGTGGTGCTAACGTTAAAAAACCGCCACTTTTTTAAAATTTTCTTGTTGTGGTTTTCACACCTGATGATGATTGCTTGTGTTGCAGTCGAAACGTCGTGAGAATTTTATTGTTATATATTTTTATTATTTTATTGTTTCCCTTCTACGTGACTTTACCGAAAGAACCAAGAATATGAATCCCTGCAGTCACGAAAGCTTTAAATAAAAATTTATAACCATTTAATTCCAGACTTCTTTTTTACTAACATGTTTAATTTCGTTCCTCAGACTTTCTCCATTTGGCATTGTTTTCGCCCAATGTATGAGCCCCTTGGTGAGAGAGGATTTCTATGTGGGGTGATGATGTGAATCTGCATTCAGACAGGCGTCGGTGTGTGTTTCTTTTTGGAAAACATTTGTGTTATTTTACCGTTTGGGCCACGTCCAAGCAAAATATCCAGGAATAGGAGAGCGTTATCCACCGTGATGAACTGCATGGCAGGGTATTGTGAATTGAGATGATTGATAAATTGTGGCCAGATAACCGAAGTGTCATCCATATATTTAAACCAAACAGAGGGTTTCGGTGTACTTGAAGCAAGTGCTCTTGCTTTTAAGTTTTCCATGTACATATTTTCACTGTCAGCAAACAAAGGGAGAGACCAATACTGTTCATTCCTTTTGTTTCTAGAAATCACCTCCGTAAGAAATGTGTTATTTAAACAATGCTCAGCTAATTGTAGAATATCTTTGTGTAAACTTGTCTTATTTAAACTAGATTCGAAGCTTTCGTGACAGCAAGAATGACTCTGGTTCTTTCGGTAAATTCACGTAAAAATTAATTAAATGAGATAATAATAGAATACGACCTTTCGATTGCAACACAAGCAACCATCATCAGGTACAAATGAATGAGAAAACAAACATAGTAAACTTGGAAATAACAATGCAATGCAACACAGACAGTCGGCCAACAAAACAGTCAACACCCCACCTTGTTGATTACGTTCTTCCAAAGATTGCAAAATTTGAGAGATAGACAAAACATAGACACGGAGACACACAAACAGACACACAAGCAGAGAGAGACTCACACAGAGACAAACAGAGAGAGACACACACATGTACCAGCGTATTGAGCAACTCAATTGAATCGTTATCCAGAACCCTCGTCAACAGAGAAATTACATGAGAGCTTACTAGAATATTATTAGGGTTAAGTTTAATATCTTTAATCACATTCACAACATTTCTTATGAATGAAGATGTCCTAACGATGTAGGGCTGTGTTTGTTTTGTTACATACTGTGCTAATTCATACATGGCAGAGCCTATTGTATTTACTATTGGTCTTAATGGGACACCAATTTTGTTAATATTTGATGACGCCTAAAGTCTACGTGTTTTTGAGGCTTTGGTTTAATTTGGTATTGCTCAGCCTTGGGAATTTATGAATTTCCACTTATTGCAGTAGTCTGACCTTCCAATGTATTAGTTGGATTATAAAGTAACACACCTTATAAGTGCATGCCTTGTAAAGGCATCACAAACTAATTAACTTATTAACAATCTATTATTGTGGAATTACAATTATCCACCCCTCTACTTTTCCACCTGTTTGGCTCACAGCAATGACGTAATTTTTGTCTATTTAAGACCAGAAGCAGGTGGATTGCTTTACAATTCTGGTAAATTTTCCAATGATGCTAGCTATAATTACCAGCGAAATGTCGTACTTAAATTGTAAATGTTTTGGATTTACTCTCCAACACACGGGTGGGCTGAAGTAGTAAATCATTGGGACGTATTGTTTATGTGACATATCTTTCTGGTTGGCTGTGTCAGGTGGTGGCGGGTTACGACACATTTATACTTACGCGATCTAGCCTAAAAACCTTTATTATATATAATATCGGTCGCGAAAGGCGACGTGTCATACTGACTATAGAAAGCCTATATATTATCATTCGTGGCCAGATCGCTTCTGAAAAATTGCTAAAAAGTTCAGTGGGCCTTATCTGAGAAGTGAAATTCAACATGTTAAAGAAGCGCTGCAAATGAACAGTTACAATGATGCACAAATCAACAGGGCATTGAATACCAAAACCAAATCAAATAACAAGAGCATTGAACCTCCCCAAGTAATTAAAACGATAAAAATACTGTACATTGCGGTAGTAACTGATAAAATAGCCAGTTGTTTGGAAAAACAAAACATCCGTGTCAGATTTGGCACGGTACATAAAATAGAGAAGTTAATATCTTGTACAAAAGATGTATTACCGAAGATGTCAACAGAAGGTGTGAACAGGATTAGCTGCACGTGTGGTAAATGTTATGTTGGGCAAACCGAACGAATGATCAACACGAAACTAAAAGAACATCAGAACACGCGTGCCAACAAGGACACGCAATTGATTTTGATAA